TTCCGCGTCTCCCATGGAAAGCCAACCTTGCTAGCTACAGATGGACTCTAAAAGAGGACTGGCCCCCCACTCCAGTCCCACCGACACAACTTGCAGAGAGCGATTGGCAGGCAGTTGGCCACTTTTTTCGCCAGTTCCACTGGAAAATTGCTGATGACTGCGTCATCTCGCATGCAGAGCTCGCTCTTCTTTTCTACTACCAAGGCTTTAAGTGTGCAGAGCTTGTTACCAGCGAGCACTTCACATTCCAAGCCTTGATTGTTTGGTTTAAAAAGTGCCTTAAAATCTGCCGCAAACATGTGTCATTTGCAATCTTCCCAGGCGAAAATGATTCCCGGCTCCACAATTCTTGGGGAAAAACGATGCCAGCGGGCGCTATCGTCAAAGCAGCCCCATTCTTGCCTGACGATTTCTTCGATTTCCTAGCGAATGTTTCTCGACACGTGGTGAAAGCGAATCTTGATACTTGGTCCTTCCTTGTTTCATCTTTTCCGCGATAGTTTGGTGCCTCCTTGTGGGGATGACCCAAAATGGGTCCTTTATGTTTAGGATTTGCTATCAGGTGGAAGCCTGTAGCACAGTCTCACGCTTTGACCTCGTGAGCGCGTGTGGTAGAAGAGGTTTTTCAATCCAGATGATATAGTTTGTTTTTGCTTCTTCATTTTTTCAGCCCATGCCCCGCTGGTGTATATATATATATATACATCAAAGGTGTAGAATTTGAAGGGACCGTCCACAGGGCTTTTGTTGCTTGAGAGCCACCCTGATGCTGAAATCCTCGATTCTTGTCTTGATCGAGGGCGAAACGCCTTTCCTCAAGACGGCAATTCGTTTTGCACCCATGGAGGGTGCTGATTGAAATCTGAATGTTGAGGTGAAGCTAAGTACTTGATTCTCGAGTCACTCAAGTAAATATATACTGTTATGCCATACTGTGCTTCTATATGTGTATGTCGTTTTATGCAAGCATATCAGTACGTTGAGATGCGTTGTCTGCAACGTTGTGCAGATACACGAAATCACTAATCACTATACCCTAGACGTCGAACCACCATTGTTTTACTGTAATAGCCTGAACCCCGGTCCCAACCATTGTTTCACCAAAAGTTTACACTAAACCAGATCGTTCCCATTTTTAAAATGGTCGAGTTGACTTCCAGGGTATGTAGATGATTCAGATCATGTCGTTCTTCCGACAGCAACGTCTGGGAAGACGCTGAGCACTTCGGAAGCTCCATGTCCGAGGCATGCATCACATTCGCCTCATGGCCTCATGGATGAAACCATCGTCCTTGGGTAATTGCTACGAAGCCACTGGTAGGGTGAAACATAGGGCAGCAGCGAATCTAAGGTTGTGAAGAAGATGTGCGTGCTTAATTGGTCCTTGACCGAACCTTTGAAGGGTGCGAGTGCAAGAGTAGCACAGCAAGAGTAGCACACATCTAGGTTTCTTCCTTTCAAGGGACGATGAATCGTAGCCGTCATAGCCCATACCTTTCCTGATCCATCCCACGTTGTATCGACAATGATCAAACAATCAATGAACGATTGATGAGACCAGCAGACACCTGGATGTACCAGCGACATTTCCCTTGGAACATGTGATCTCCAGAGATCCAGATCGGCCCGAAAAATGGCCGTTTGCACCCAGACATTCGCACCGCACCTTCAAAGGGGTCCCTCTTGTTTGTTCTGCTTGAGCGCAGACATGCAGCTTTGGGTTTGCAACACCACCGGCGTGGCTGAGACACCGGAATGCATGCGCCAACAAGGCGATCCATGCATTTTGGCCGGGTGGACTCGTGGAAAGGAATCGAATCTGAGGGAAGACCGCCATTGGGCTGAAGGTTTATGGTTTTAAGACAGATTGTGTAAGCATGTGCAAGCCACATCTCTTGGGGTTGGTGCCATCTATATGCTTCCAGCAACCTCCACGGGCTGTACAAAGCCGATGTTCGCGGCTGATCGTCCAGTTTTTTCTCGAAGGTTCCAACGACACTTGCGGTTTTCAGTTTTGTGTCTTGCAACCAAACACCCAGCATCCAGCAGTTTTTGAGCACCTTCCGAAGACCTTCGACCCACCATCCTCACTTCATCTCACCTTCGGTCCCGAGAACCCACCGAACACCCACGCGAACCCGACGGCCGCGGGCGATCGACGCTGAGACGCCGATGAACACCTTCTTCACGGTGGAAAGGTGACGGTTGATCTGGTTGGATATGTCGTACTGGCGAGGGAAGTTGCGTACTGGCTTACCTGCGATTAGTTAGTATCAAAGTGCATCAAGTCTCCTGTAGTCACTGTAGTTGTTCTGTTTGTTTATGTTTGTTTCGATGCTTGGTATCGCGATGGTGCTTAGGTGTCACCCAACGACTTCGCATACTCGCCGTTGTCCCGTCCGTCAGCGTCGTCCTAGAGGTGGGGGTGTCTCTGAAACGTCTGAATTTGCTGAGCAGTGCATGGAGTGCCCGCGATCGGAGTGGTGATCCAGCTCAATGGCTCTTCACCAAACTCTGCAGATCATGCTGGCGAACTCGCTGGAACCGCTGGTAGCCATGCAACACAGAAAGACATGTTGAACAAGAACCCCTCCTTAGTGACCTAGTGGTTCCATAGCACCATAGCTTGGGGGGAGGGGAGCAGTATGGTGGGACCTCCATCTTGCTGGGTGTTGTTGGCCATGTGGACCAATCTGTGTGCTGGCTTGTTGTGTGCCACGGTCTCAGACAGAGCTCCGGGCGCGGCCAGGCCACCGGAAGCCACGCTTCGATGATCATCAGCAGCCGAAGGAAGTGAACGATAGGAAGGATCCTTCGTGGTGGCCAGTTCTGGGTGTTGGTGGCATAGCCATTTGTTGGTGTTTCATATGTATAGGTATAGCCATTTGATAGGATCTGCCAGGCCGCCGCCTTCATGACCGACTCGTGCCCGTGGTGGTTCTGCCGATGTGACGGAAGACGCCCATGGGGCGGCAAAAATGAGGAACGGCGGTGGACTCGCTTGCAGGTCCTTTTCAAGGTGTTTGTGTGTGTGTGACTCAGCCACCTTTCGGTTCCCTCACCCCTTTCTGCGTGCCTAAGTAGTGTCACACCCTGTATCCAAGGATAACAACAACAACTCATTGTGCAGTTTTCAGCGGCCGGAGCCAGGTGGGGGGTCTCCGGCCAACGAAGACACCCCCCACCTGGGTGAAAACGTACCTGCGGATTTTCCTTCAGTTCTTTCATCTTTGCGAAGATCCAGGTGTTTTAAACAATGCTGTTCAGGCTGACTTTCCACCGTTCCGTTGTGAGCAGGGCTGTTGCAGGTCTTAGGTTCAGCGCTCTAAGCTGAGCGCTCTAAGCTAACAATGCAATCACTAGAGTGGAACTTTGCTGATCCAAGAGCCACCCAGAATCAACATGAATCAACCCTGGAAGCGACTCAGAAGGCTTCTGTCTATTTTCTATTGCTTATATAGATGGTAAGCTGTGGATAGAATAGAACATGACCCAGACACTCCATGTATGCCATATTTGCCGATCAATTGACCCCGGTGGCACCACCCCTGGCCGTTTCTCGGCCTATACCAGTCCCATCGTCTGGGTGAGAGCGTTCTAACGAGCCGACCGAGACGTGGAGTCGAAAACACCGAGGCCCTTCCAGACCAAAGATGCTGGACATGTGTGTCGATGCATCGCCCTGGGCAAGGTGCGGTGGCAGACGCGATAAGACAAGGGCCAGGTGGCAGGAGGCCAGATATGGGAGGCGGTCGCAACAACTGAAGTCCAGTTCGACTAGATTGTGACCGACTGACGGACAGGAAATTCCATGAAATTCCTTTAGATCTTTTTGGATGACCTCAAGACATCTCAAGACCATTCTTTTGATAGTCTTTGACTCCCAGGGAACAAAGGTCTTGAACAACCGAAGGTCGGGATTTGCCATGGACTCCATGACCCATTTGGCGATGCTCGCAGGTGGCCTCCAAAGGAAAAGCTCGCACGGCGTTTCACGGTTCGAGTGCCCAGATGCGAAGGAGGGGGTCAGGCTCTGCCAGTTTTAAAGCTCTCTCCTCAGTTGCTCGGAAGCTGGGTGTGGGGGGTAGCTGCCTATGTCCAAGTGACCGTCACTGTAGCTATTTTGCCTTGCCTGATCTCCACTGGACGGTTCCTAGTCTGGTCCCCGGTGGATGTGGGACGCCGCAGGTCGGTTGCAAAGCACCTCCGGAGTGGTGAAGACATGTGAAGACTCGATTGCTGGAGTTGTCCAAGACGGTTTGGGGATGTTTGGTACGGCTTTGCAGTCCAAAGTCCTGCTGAGCACAATGGATGAGCAGCGGCAAACACACTCATAACCGTTCTCAAGCAACAAGCATTATAATTCTACTGTCCTTACAGAACTGCCACAACCATGTTCAGATCTTGATTTGATCCTGCTTCTCAGTCAGAAAACGCTCCCCGCGAGTTCAAGATGACGTGGAATGGAAACTCTCCCCGAGTTCGGCTGACCAACTCCTGAAGCCCGTGCCGGTCGTTGACGACCTAGTCGCGCCGCGGGGTCAAATGACGACCTGGTCGAAGTAGACTATGTTGAGATTTTCTGACTGTGGCTCAAGTTGTGATTCTTTTCATTAAAAAATGGCGCGGTTTGGCAAAGCAGTTGCAGAAGAACACATCCCTGGTGCAGAACACATGTCGTCGTGTCCAGATCACACCAGGACGAAGGATCCCGAAGGGATTCTCTTTTTTGGGCTCGGTCATTTCTCCAAAAACTGTTTCCTTCCGTGTTTACTTTGGAAGTGGGACAGTAGTACTCACTGTACACCAGTATTTCATGATTTGTCAAGGATGTTCAACATTGACTGCACATGTTCTATGTCACAAACCTTGACTTCAAGACTTCTTTCCTCCTACAAGACACCGCAAAAGCGGTCCAATCGAAGCACCGGGCACCGTTCAGTTCGTTTAGGCCTCGCGAACGCTCGCTCCTAGGCCTCTCCTTGAGCCCCGCGGCGGCGATGCCCGAGACGGCGCTCAAGCAACGCCCAGCCAATACCACGCCGGGGGGCACCGTGGGGCACCGTGGGGCGAGTGGCGCCGTGGCGGGGGTTTTCGGGGAACCCGAGACGGTTGGGGCCGTGGAAGGCTGAGATCGGTGGTTTCTTTTGGGAATAGATTAATAAATAGGAGATGATTGGAATAGAAGATGATTGGAAGGGAAGCTGCATCTCAGAATGAGTGGACACATGTTGACACTGAGCACTGCGGGTGAGACCCTCCGCCTTCAATCTCCCTCTCTGGGTGACTCAGCGAGAAGCCCTTCACATCTCCAAGCAGCTGGAGCTAAATATGATTGTCGTGGTGCAGAAGAAGTGCTATAATCAATGTTCTAAGACATATATACTTACACACACACACATATATATATACCTAGCGCTTCCTGCCTGGGTGTCCAATGGAGACCTATCTAGTAGTTGACTGGGTTGTCCAGCCAGGTGACCCGGACTGGAAGCAGCTGGTATAGATTCTATATAATAGATGTTCGGCTAGTGTTTCTCTGCGCTCGGTCACCCTGCCCTACCGACCATGCGCTTGACCAGACTCTTCGAACGCAGCTTCGACCAGTGAGGGCTCTCTCTCTCGCAGACTTCTCGCTATATGCATAAATGATGTGAACACACACACACACATATGTCCTTTATTTTAGGCTGAGACATACAATGACTCGCACATGTGCACACACACATGCATTTGCATTCTCAAAAATACGTGCACGATCGCCTCGCCTAGGCCAAACCCCTTCGCAGCGCCCGTGGTCGCCGGTGATCGCCTCGGTGTGGGACGACACGTCCTTGATCGCCTGGGGAGGGAACGATGGATCGGAGAAAAAGGGTGATGTGAACAGCTTCCCCGAACTGGATGATTGACCAGCTGGGTACATCCATGTAAATCCCTTCTGTCGGAAGATGATCAGTTTCTCGGCTTAGTAAGACAGCAAATCAAACATGGTCGGACCTGTTTGTGGCTCGGGGATCTTCGGTTCATTGTTTTGTGTGTGTGTGTGTGTCAAACCCCGTTTCCAGGGGCACTACCCAACTTGACTATTCTACCTACTTTTGTACAGCATCTAGCAGGGGGCAGTGACAGAGTTTGCGGAATCACTGCCAAGACTTCCACATTCTCTGGTGATGCATCGGGAGACGTCTAATCTTGCAGTGAAACTACAAGGCTAATGCTCACCGCGCGACTCTGAAGCCCAGCTCCGCGGAGCACCTATCCTATCCTAAGTGTGTCAAGTTGTCGATGTTTGATTTCCAGGGTCTCTGTGAATATGAGGAGGTAGGGTGATTGATGGACTCCGATGATGCAGCAACAGAGCAAATCTCATGCCCCTGGATCCAACACACCAAACAAAACCTTTTCGGTCAGGGTCTAGCGGCCGCCTGCCAATCGTCGCATTAGGGGGCCTCTACCTCGAATAGGTCTTAGAGATCTTAGATTACCAGGCGAGGCGAGGCCAGCATTCTCTTCAGGCGGGGGCGCCGATGGCGAGGGCGACGAGAAGGGCACCAAGCGAGATGCTGCAGCCATGGAGGAGGGCGCATTTTGAGCTGGGTGTTCCACAAACTTGTGCAGAGCAGGTTTGTTGAGGTTCCATATTATCAATCATTGATGTGCAATTGCTTGGTGGAATTGGGATGGTGAGACTAGGTGCTTGAGGTAGCATTTCTGTTTTGGTTTGGTTTGTGGGCTTGCTTGCTCGCTCGCTCGCTCGCTCGCTTGCTTGGGATCGTGCTGGTGCGCGCCGCGCGCGCTGTGGGTAGCAAATCCCAGCGTCGGTCGGCGGTAAGTATACCATTGATTGTATGTTTTTACAACAGCAAGGATGGTCCTGGCGCAGGACGTCAACGGATTGCCATTTCCCCCCCCCCACCCACTCACCTACCCCATGGTTTCCAGAAGCATCACACAGGCGTCATGCGCAAGCAGACTTACATGTGTCCTATAGCGGGTGGTACAAGTGTCCACAGCGCAGGCAGGATAGTCCTGCGAAAAAACCCGCAACCCGTTGTACAAAGAAAAATTGCTTGTGTGGGCAGCGCTTGAGAGGTTTTGTTCTTGTTTGAAGCATTTTTGGGCTCGGTCCGTTTCAGTCGAGATGTCCGGTTCGTGTTGAGAGGCGTTTGACGCACCGCATTTTTCGGGCATTTTGATAAGTCAGAGAGCGGGGCTGTTTGGGCCCTATGTTGTGGAGCATGCGCTTTCCACAACCTGTAGACTTAGGCTCTGGGTTCCGCATGGTTTCCTTCTGGTTTCCTATGCTTTTAATGAGTCCTAAGGCAGCCTGTGGCCTTGCTGGTTTTTGTGCGGCTTCCAGAAGTCAGACTCTGGGTTCCTTGTGGTTTCCCTCTTGTTTCTTGAAGAGCGGCTTTGTGCGGACGAGGCCAGCATTGTTTTTTGTGGTTCAGGTGGCTTCCTTTTTTGTCACCATTTGTCGTCCGTTTTGTTACAGCGTGGAGAGTGGGAGGTGCATGGTGGATGTTGGCTCTTGGCCGCAGACCTGAGAGCGCAGCGCGGTTTGGACCCTGGTTTCGTCGATGCTTTAAAGCTTTTCTCAGGCCAGGCGCATCACCAGGCTTTTCACATTGATTTTGTAGACACTTCGCCGCCCAGGCGCATTGATATTGTAGACGCTGCGCCGCCGAGGCGCGTTGATGTTGTAGACACTGCGACGTGCAGCAGGATTGGAACTCTGGATGTGGGAGGGCGTTGCTTCTCTTTATAGATTATCCTTTTCGTGCCTGTGACGGTGACGCCTGCCTCTCTCACACACCAAATAACAATTGGACTTCAGTCAAGAGCCGAGGCTTTGTGGAGCAATTTTCCAAGAGTTGGCAGTGATGTTTCAGAGTCGTCCCCGGCCATGAAAAGCTAGAAGATACCAAGTAGGAAAAGAGCTTTGCTTTTCGCATCCTTTTTTTGGGGGATGTTTTGCAGTGATGAACGTTTAAGAGGGACTTGTTTTGTGGGCGAGTAAGAGAAACCCTGCACAGCGGAAGGTTGTGGAAGCTGTTGTGGAAGATAGTTCTAGACAAGTTGACGCGGAAGCGATGCGCAAGCAATATTTCCACCGAGTAGCACCATCGAAATTTCTGTGCCCGACACCATGCAACACCAGTCAAACGACAAGTCAATTCAATGTTGTCTTAACTTAAACACAGCAAATGAGAAATTTAGCAGGGTGAAGTGTCAGAGGTTGCGCGTGAACAGCATTTGGGCATGGATGTTCCATGTGTGCAAGTCAGGCACGTGAAGGCTCAAGAAAGTTAGAGAAGCAGAAAAAAGTCTCACGATGGTGCTTCGGCGCTGCGTGTGCCTTACTGCGCGCGGCGGGAGCTCACACGTTTTAACGGAAGATGAGCCACTTGGCAACTGCAAGTATCCGTGTAGTAGGTTGAAATATTTGCATATTTCCTACGAGTTAAGCCACCAGAGAATTGATTGCTCTGAGCCTTTATGATGGTGTAATAGGATGCCAAGATGTCGCCGCTGCGGCCACCGAGGTTCAAAATCCTCGAGGAGCTGGATGTGGCTGATTCTGGAAAGGGCGCAGCTTACCCTTGCAAAGCGCGCTCGTCCTACAAGAGCGTCCCTGATTTCATCGCTCGATTTGCGACGGTGTTGGCCGGCGTGGCCTGGTTGACAACTGTGATTCTCATTGGGTTGCGGCGGTCGTAGAGCCATTAGGGTTATCAAACGAATCAACCCGATCACATCACCCCTAAAGCACCTCCAACTTTCCAAGTCATGAGAACAAAAAGGTCAACCAGTATCAGTGTCAGTTATGAAAGCCCAATGGGCCATGAGCCCACTCAAAACTGCACTACACTTGCGTAAGTCTTAAGTAGAAACCATGACACAATGGTCAGGTATACAATTAACATGACTTGTGTTGCAACTTGTGCAACTGGAAGTGCAAAATGTTCTCAAACGGCTGGCAGGGCCGACGTGTGCCATTTTGGGTCAAGCTTGCGACGATGTTGGGAGGAGAGGCCCTGGCATTTGCGAGTTTTGTGCGGCCCATCACCCTCAGTGGGCTGGGAAGAGGTGTAAGAGGTGTAGAAGGGGCTGGCAAGGGGTATTTGTCGCCCTTTGAGGGCAAGGCTCAACCCAATCGGAGGAAAAGTGGAGCGAGAGACTGCAGATTTATATCAATGTTTTTACACGTTGAGTTGAGTTAAGAATAATGAGCAGAGATTAAGCAGCTAGCAGCTAGCTTCTAAAAATACCTTCAAAACACGAGCCGAAAAAGGAACAACCATAGGATGTAGCCACCGATGTGTTGAACACATCGATTAAGAAACAGCTTTGCAAGGAAGGACCGGGCTTAGTTCTTTCTTCGGTTAACACGGGTGTTGATTGCGATGGTCATGTGCACAGAATGGCGTCCCCATACAGCAGCTTCTGTTGCCTACCACAATCATGGTGTTTTTTTGGTCATAGCTTCCTTGAACAAGTTTTGGAAGGGAAGTGGCCGAGCAAATCTAATGAAGCAAAGTCAATGCAGTGGCGTTTGTAATTTTTTTTGTTGTTCTATTGGTGTTTTTTTGTTGGGGTTTGTTTTTCTTTGGTAGTTTTTGTTTGCCGGGTCTTTGTTACGTTTGTTGGTCGTTTTCTTGGGTCTACCTCTTTTTTTGAGGGGCGCCTTTTGGTGTGATTGGTTTGTTAGAATTGAAAATCTTTGCGCATCTTTTGGTCTTTGCGGCTCTCCTTTAAGGTTTTGTGGGTTTTAAGACCCTGACGTTTTTCGGGCTCGAAAAGGCTTCCTGGTTAACGAGATAATAAAGACCGTTCAACCTGTTTCATGAAAAGCCGAGAACCAGAAGCAGAATGGTATCAGGGGTTTAGCATTTCATTATCATCCAGAACATGTTTTACCATAATCGTGAGAGCTTACTTGGCTTTCTCATTCTCAGGCTCTGGTGACGTTTGGCAGACGCCTTTACCAGAGGCCACGCTTGACGCCGAGCCCAGAAGTCAATGGCCTTGGGGCCCCTGCTGCCACAAAAGCTTTGAAGGAGTTGAAGCGCCGCTTGGACTATAAGAAGGGTGCAGTCTCTCATGCAACAACACCACTACTACCATTAACGAGAGGGTACTACCCTTAACAAATGGAATTCGCGTTGTTTGGGGAAGGGTGTCTTGAAGCGATTTGTTGAAGCAAAGGGGCGTCTTTGTTCCTGATGACCGTATCTAGGTTTGTACTTTGACAAGGGCAATGTTGTTTAGAAGGAAACTTGTATGTTCCAGAAACACCAAAGATTGCGCGCGTTCCGAGCTAGTGTTCTGAGCTAGCGCTTCGAGATTTGTTTGATTGGAGACTGGTTTCCACGAATTCCAGCGCTGCTTGAATGAATGAAACGGTGCAAAAGCTGCTGCAGTGGAAACATCCTCCATGGCGGGCCACATTGGGGGTTAGATCGTCAAACCCTTGCAATTTTGCCGTCGTGCAAGCAGCAGTCATCATGCAGTTTGTTCAGAATGGTGTGCCTAGATCAGCATGGCAGGGAAAAGGGTTCAACAACTTCTTCTTGTTCAATCGTGAAACTATGTATTATAGCCAGTTAAACGGCTGCCAGGGTAGTAGCCTTATGCGTCGCGGCATGGGATATATAGGGAGAAAAACGACAGACTGTGGCTTTAACCATAACTTCTTTCCCGTCTCAGGTTTTCAAGGGCAATCTTGAACGATGCAGAAGCACACACGCGTCACACGAGAAATTTGTAGCCAGATTTGAACTGGCGCGAAAGGTTTAACGGATTTTGTTTTCGTGAGATGTGCGCATGCTTAGCGGAAATTTGTTGGAAGCATTTGGCGGGTAGATATCCCAGCATGAAGCTTATTTCAAACTCCTGAAGCTGGTGGATTTTCCTACGGCTATCATATCACAAAGACCGGCGCCAGTTTTGCGACAAACAGCCATCTAGACGGATTTGACACGGGGTGTCAAATTTGTAGCAATAGATAGAAAACTGCAGGTATATAACACAGACAGGGCATGGACCTTGGTTTTGCATCCTGATGTCTGCCGATCTCCTTGCAGGTCTACCGCAAGAAGTGGACTGAACAATTTGCTCGAGTGTTCTGACCAAGACATTTCTGCGCTTCGGCCTGATATTGAAAACAATGTTGCAAGACAAGATATTCAACAACGGGTGAACGGACTTTCCATCTTTCTTCTTTGCTGTGTGGCTTCATGATTTGCTGACCAACATTCTGCAGTCTGCCAAAAGGCGATACCGATTCGGGTACGGCCAGAGAGCGTTGCCGTGGCACCGAGAGCCTTGGCCTGCAAGCTCTGCAGCTTTTTCACCTCTCTTATTCTCATTCTCAGGTTTCTTCTTGTCAAAGGTGTTCTCTCTTTAGGCTTCTTGTCTGATCTTCTTAACTTAGATAGAAACAATCAGGACCATATATGTAAAGCACCCAAGTAGTGATATACAATGATAGCGATGATAGCGAAATGTATCATGTTGAGACGGACTAGTGCACCCGATGTTGAGCCGAAGTTATCGAAGGCAGCTGCGAAGAGACCTCGCGGCGTGATTGAGCTTCCTTCGCACCTTCGGCCGCCGTTTGAAGATGAAGAAGGACTTTGGTAGACATTTTTGGCTGCTTGGACAAAAAGCAAAATCTCCACTTCGATTTGCTTTGCATACGCGGGCTTTAGGAGTTAATGCGAGACTAAAGTGACCAAGTCAGGCTGACTTTTTTGTGACGTGTTCTTATAGACATTTTAGACAGTGTGAGGCGCTTGTTGGGGTCTTTAGGTTCGTTTTGTTCGGCAAGATTTTCATTCTTCCCGAGGCGGGATAGCTAGGCCGATGGAAGTTTGGCAATGGCTTGCTCCATGGCGCAGGGGAGAAAGCGTCTGGAAACATTTGAGACCAGCCTTCGGTCAGCCATCAGATCCGGAACTAGGTCCATTAAGTAAAGAATGGGTGCAAGCCAATAGAGCATCCAATAGAAGTAAAAACACATAACGACCATTGGCCCTACATGGTGCAAAAAAGCACGCGTCTCCCAGCTTGGCTAGTGATGTCCGCCCTTTTTGGTTCCCCGTCCTTTCAAGTCTTCACATGTGTCTCCCAGCTTGGCTAGTGATGTCCGCCCTTTCCGGGCCCCCGTCGTTTGCTTCATATATTTACAATAAACAGTGTAAATGTTCCATCGTCTGTGCGCAGCAAGCCCAAATTGAACAAACTGTTCGACTCAACAATGCAGTGGAAGAATATCAGGCCGGTTCGCAGGAGCAACCCAGAGCGCAATCAATTTTCCTGACAACTTTTTTTGCCTACCACCTTTTCGCAAAGCAATGCGGCCTCTAGAGGTCCGAAAGTCCCGGGAGCAACATCGAAAGGAAGGGTTGCCAGCAAGTCTCCCGAGTGCCTTGGAGGCTGCTGTGAGTGCTTCAGTGATTGCTGCAACAAGTAGTCACCGATCTACTGTCACGGCTTCTTTTGAGTAGAGCACAGGCCAAACATTTTGTTCCATCTATGCTGGCCGCCGTTTTCAAACATTGGTTGGAAAGTAAAGATGGGCGTGAATGGCAGGAGCGCAGGGACACAACGTTTCGAAGCTGAGTTAGAAATCGTGCGGTTGCCAGCGCAGCGCGGGATGCAGCTAGTGATTCCTATTGGTAGATGTGATTCCTTTAGGTCGATAAAATTTGTTTTTGAAACCAAAGAAAAACCTGTTCAGATTGCTCAAACTGTATCTGACCCCTCCGGTAACTTTAAAACAACAAACTGTTAAACCCAGAGCACTGCCCTCAAGAAACCTCTTCCAAGGTTACTCTTGTCTGCAATAGTGCTTGAAACTACTGTTGCCTGGGTTTACTTTAGAGACCCTTTTCTTTGTCCAGCGAGGATGGCAGGGGTTTGTTGTAACAGGTTCCTGTTCCGTTTTCGAAGTATTGTTACGCATATCCATATTTTGTTGCAACACCTTTGACAAGCCGACACACCACAAGAGATCCGACTTTTGAGCTTTTTGCCCGTATACGGGCCCAAATCACAGTCTTTCGAATGCCTACGGGGTTTCTAGGCATATCAATACCTGGAACATGACTTGGCACTAATTTCTGCCAACGTCATTTTTTGTAAAAGACGCCCAGTGGAAAATGTAAGACCCAGGTATATTTAATTGAATTGTTTGGAAGAAGGGATCGATGGCCACATCTCTCGCCAGGAGCTGGCGCGCAAAACTTTCAAGCGGATGTGACGAAAAAAAGCAGTGGGAGGGTGGATGGACTTTGGGGAGGAAACCAACCTAGCTCACTTGTTTCTTCAAAATATAAATAGATCTATTTCGAAAACCATATAAGAAGTCGATCCTACTTGGACTTACCTGAAGCCATGCTTTGGGGACAAGCCTGTGTTTCGACGATGACAATGTTATGAAACCGATGTCAATGTTATGATATCATGACAATGTTTTGATGCTGATGTCAAGTTGATGCGGTGAAGCCGCTGACAATTTTATGAAGCGGATGACAATGTTAATACGACTTATGATTTGCAGGGGGTCGCGTGCTTCACCTCATGCGCTACCCAAAAGCAATTTTCTGTGGCTTTTGCGCTACGCTAGGACTATCCCGCCTGCGCTGTGGACACATGCTATACGATGCTTGTATGCTTCGTGGTAATAAGTCTCTGTTTACGCATGGCGCTTCTGGGAACCGTGGAGTGGGTGGGTGGGGTGTGGAGCCTGCAATCCGTTGAGGTCCCGCGCCAGGACTATCGTTGCTGCTGTAAGAACAAAATGACAATGGTATACTTACCGCTGTAAGAACCATCTTGTCGATTGCCACTCAAGCGCTATGATGTGTTATCATTTTTGGGGGGGTACCGGAGGGAAGGTTAGTTTTTCTGAGCGGTTAGTTTTCTGCCAGGATTCGTTCGGCAAATTTCTCGGGCATTTTGATAAAGACAGTGCAGATTCATTGTACCCTATTGTGGAGAATTTTGACTCGCAGGTCAGTTCACGCGTCCAAAAACAACAACATCTGGTGCCTTTCACCCGTGACGAAGAGAGGTGGAGATGGTCCAGCGGAACACCCAGAACTCGCTGTTATGCGCTTGGCATTGGTTGGCTGATGAAATACGCAGTGCCCATTACCAACAACAGTCGGAAAAAGGTCATCACTATTGTTGAGAACGGCCGTTTTTTCACCAGTTTGCCCACCATCATCCGCAGGGCCCTGGGCCCTGGTAATGGGATATGACATGATATGCCACATATATACAGCATACGTTCCGGGCATCGACCTTTTTTTGATTCGCAAACCAAGGACATCGGTCCGCGTCGAAACACCGCGCGGTCTTTCGCCACCGAAGGAGGAGGATCCCATCGAGCCCGACACTGTGTTCCTGGGCACGGCGGCCGAGCGACTTTCGACAGGACAGCCTGGACAGTGGAAGGGCGAGGAATGACATGTGCTGTAGGATACCTACGGGATGTGAAGAGGAAGACCGTGAATGTAGGCAGGTCTCCTGTTAATAAGTTATAAGGTCATGTAGATTTTCATTGTTTTTCCAACATGACGGAACCCCTCCCAAACCTGCAGATGTGACCCCTAAGTCCAGGGGTCCCGGCCTGGCTTTTCCGTCCGAATTTTCCGAACCGCGAGCGAAACCCAGAAAACTGAACCTGGAAAGGGGGGTCGAAACATGTGAAGAAACTCCTTTGAAAAGACAACTGAAAACCTGGAACCTTCAATCAAGCACCCAATGATGCAAGAGGTGTTGGCCTTCAATATGTCAAAATCTGGCCCTAGGTGGACCGCGGCCAAATGAACCGAAGAGAAGGGATGTGAACCTTCCACGGTCTGCTGGGAGGTTTGAATTGCGGTCTTGCATGGGACATGATCCAAACTTCGCCCCTTGGCCTAGGACCACAGAACTCCAGAACTCCCAGAAACAGCTTAACCCGTGCTACATTTGTACTACCAAGTGGCCCGTTCTGAGTCGCTGGGCGCACGCCCAGCGACTTCACGGATCCGTCGCGACCGTGGCCTCCGCTCAGGTCGTTTGCCTCCCAATATCGAAGAAAAACGCATCCAGGCGGGGTGGTGTCGCAGGAAGTGGTGTAGCTGTGAGTTCGATAGATAGATTTAGCTAGCTAGGTAGGTAGGTAGTAGGAAGATAGATAGATAGATAGATAGATAGATAGATAGATAGATAGATAATGATTTCAGATAAATATATAGATATATAGATATCAGAAATCGCTAGATGACTGACATGCCTTCTGAGCTTGGTAGGCCATGAATCGCCGGGTTTGAAAAGCGTGAAAGACCAACGGGTGGTTGAATTTGTCCTTCGTACTTCCCTCACTTTAACATGCATTAAATCATGCTGAGCATGGTGGAGCTACAGCTTCATGATGTGGCTCGTGTCAGCGCTGCAGGCAGCCTTTAAGCATGTGGGGAAGATTGAGCGGGTGCATTTGGCCAGGGAAGCAGGCGGGTTTGGCCGGCCCCTTGACGCCCGGAAGTGGCCAACGCCAGCCGCTATGGCCCTTGGTGCACTGGGATCAGCAGGAGTCCGATCTTCGACCTTCGACACACCGAGCTTGGAAGCTTGAGTTGTGCACATTTGTTTTGGAGCACCAGTGTTTGGACATGGCGCCACTATATGCTAGATTATGCTAGCACCCGACTCTACAGGTCACCACCCGCCACTTTGAAGTCTCCAAAAACCACCAGAGGAGACTTGTTGGAGGGTGCTGGTATACTTGAACGAGCCCCTTTATGATGAAAAACCCTATAGAACACAATTATCAGAAACCAACATGCCCGAAGAATTACCACTTGAGCGCCTCGCAGTCCGCTTCTCCCCTTTCGGCTGAGCCAGGCGAGGGCACGGCCTGCAAGGGCTTTGGATGGGTCACCTTTTCAACACCTGAGGAGGCGGAGGCGGAGCTGCTGACAGCCGAGCTGCGGTGTTCTCGGAGGGTGGTCGACTCGCCACCAGAGGACCACAATGGAACCCCAAGGCCTTTGGGTTGGAAGATGATCGAAGCCACGGGTCAATTCTCAGGTTCCGTGATCGTTTGGGGGGGGGGGTTGGTAGGTGTACCGTGGTCGGGGAAGGCGCCAAGATGGCCAGAAGGGATGGTACACCATGAAACCACCGTGCTTTTTCATTCAGAACGGTGGGTTATGGAAGTCTGCACGGAAAAAGGGTAGCTAAGAATTGTCAACAGGATCCAAAACTGCACAGCCGACAAATGCCTATGACTCACTAACACGCAAGTGGAAAGCACCCTTAATTGTTGGTAATTAGAGCAAAGTCGTCATCCAACGTTCCATGCCAGCCACTTCCATGTGATGCGTTTGTCGGAGGTAGTTCTATTAGTCATCGCTTCGCCAGTTCCTTTGTCACTCACAAAAGCTGTGTTCTTGGCCTCTGCGGTGCGCTCGACCTCCATGCATCCATCGCCTCGTATGCATGTCCAGGCTGCAGTTGAGATGGATGGGATGCTGGAGTGTGGTGGACGGATGATTACCATCTCCATCAGTGCTGCGAGCCTGTTTGTTCTCCACGTGTGTGGGAGGGGCTGAGGGGCGCGGTGTGGGAGCATGCTGACGGAGTAAAGCGAACTTGGGAGGTGACGAGGTCCTTCATGAACGCTTGGATCACGTTGGGTGGATTTGCATTGGTCTTTCATTCATGCCCTGATGGTCACTAAGCTGCTAGCTCACTAGATAGCCGAGACTCCCATGGAAGTGGAAAAGAGGCCCTCCATCAAGACCCTGTTTCTCTTCACCACAGAGAGAGGTGTTGCATGGTGTTGCGTTTCTTTTTTTCCATGTTTTGTCCACTTTCCATCCCAGACACGGCACATGGGACTGCAATATATGCCGATCAATGAACCCCCAGTCAACCACCCCGGCGGCCTGATACCTCAGTCCGGCAGTCCGGCAGTCGACAGGTCGTGTTTGGGAGTCGCTCCTTCCGCGCACCTCCGCGCCCCCAGGTCGGCCGAAAGCTCGAGCGGATGGAGGTCCCAGGCGAGGGAGTCGAGCGGAAGGGACCCGAAGTCCTCGGGCTTCCAATAATGGGAACGATGGAAAAGGGCTCTGATTGGTGGAGAGGCAGTCTGCCTGGCGCATTTTCTATCCTGATGGTATGATACTTAGTAACTTAGTATTTACTAGTGAAACTCTTCCATGTTTGTGAGGTGCAAGTTTTGAGAAGCACACCGATGGTGTTTCCTTTCGCAACCATTCTGGATGCCTAACCAAGGCTTTCAGTCTCGAGTCTTTCCTGTCAAACGCCATGCTTCTTGCTGACGTTCAGGAAAAAGAAGAGGGAGATCCAAATCGCTCAAAGCTCAGATCCTGCGTCCAATCGCTCCTGCGGCCGATCAACAAACACTCCCGCTGCTGCGCGTCCAGCTGATGATCCCCAGTCCGCAAGGAACGTGGTCAGTGTGTGGCCACAAGGTGGCCTTCCAAAGGAACGCCGTTCACGCACGTCCCTCAGGTCGTCGAGCCTCACGCCGACTGCCAAGCCGACATGGCTTAAGCTTTCCCAACTTGGCGACCGAAAGGATCCAATACAACAAAGTAAGAAGACCAAGATACAAATGAAGGTGAAATGGGGCCATAAACCGATTACTAGAATTCCATGTCTTAATTTGATTACGACTTCTTAAGGTGGCTTCCAGCTCCTTTTTCCTGCACCATCGAGTTCCAGGTGGTGAATAGTGACGCCTTTCTCTAGACACCCCTTCTTCAACGAACGCCTTTTCCCATTCCCACCGTGGTGCTGCACCGTCCGTTTCTCATCCGTCTGTTCCTTTCGGATTTACCCGGCGACCACCGAGACGGACCGCCAGGTTGGTTCTGCCTGGTGAATCCCAAGGCGCCGTGGAACCTTCCCCTCGCGGCGGGTCAACTCCGCGCACGGCGGAGTTTCAGGAGCCAGGAGACGTTCCTTTTCCATGAGCAAAAAGCACTCCAAAAAGCGTTTAAAAAAGAGCACCCCCCTCCCTCCATGGCTTTAGGTTTAGTTTGGGCTCGGATGCGCCACACCGGAGGAAAACAACGACCGGTCGGCTTGCCTGGAAGTCCGGTTTTGATCGGTGGTAAGAATGCTGTCGTAGCAGGTGGAGAAGCACATGATTGTGACGGCCACCACAGAGGTCTACATCGCTACAGCGCGCAGAACTGAGGTCGATGGAAAGAGCTCGAACTGATGGATTTGGAGCATGTAGATGCCTTTTGCCCCAGAGGCATTCATCAATGGCTTTTGAGATGAAGTTCATCATTGTTGGTTTTTCAATCCTTTCTATGCTTTGACCCAAATTGCGGAGTCACCAACTTACATTGCAACAGCCGCCTGTTCTCTCCGCCTGACCCCTTCGAATGGGCAACAGCCCGACCTGGCGTTAGTAAAGATATTTGCCCGGTCGGCTTCCATTTCCACCATTCAAAGAGTTCAGTTGACCTGGTTTTGTAGCCTAAAATCCTGGGTGAAACAATGGTCGTCCATAAAAATGCCATGAACAAAAATGGTGATCGTAATCCTTAGGGTTTGGGGATGTTTTTGGATTGAAGTCGCCTGAGGTCTTGGACGGTTGTCATGGGGTGGGCTCCACGTTGACAGCGGTGACGAGAGATCTGTCAATACTGTAAATCATGAAGACTTCGAAGGATCATCATCATTCATCTCTTGCAATTAATTCTTGCCTCATCACAGGTATGAAGATCAATGTATGAAAGCTATGAAGATCCATGTATGATCTCATTGGTCTCATCAATATGCCAAAGCATGCTAAAGCAAGGTGAGTCAAGTTGTATGAAGATCAATGTATGAAAGGTCTCCACTGGCCTGTGGATTGAGGCGAGGCCCTGTGAACCCGTACCACGTGCAGGCAGGGCTCATGGATGCTCATGGTTTCATCTACCGACTCATGAGGCAGATGCTGGCAACCAGCCAGACCTGGACGATGTTCTGATTTATCGCAGGTCCTGTTGGATCCTCCTGGTGGGATTAGCTTGTGCACATTCTAGCACCTTTTGCAGTTAATGCTGCACCTGCTAACTGCAGTGGGATGCGGGTGGTCTGTTTTAAAGACGTTGCAAGAACTCACAGTTGCGCCAGATCCTGCCGGTGAAGCATGCGTGTGGCGCCCAGCTGTTCAGTGATTTGCTGATTAGATGCTTTCAGTCACTCATAGCATGTTTGTTGTTTTCGTTTCCATCGTCCCCTCTGATTGACGCCTGCAGACCATGGTTCCAATCATAAGAATACCCTGCAGCTTTCTTTCCTGCGCCTGCAGACCATGCCCGCCGCGCGCGCGCCGCCCCCTTCGCCTGCTTGCCGTGGAGGCCGTGCTTCGCCGCCTGCCCTCCAGATCTACAACAAGCATTGCAGGTGCGGAGGGGCCGAGGCGATGAGCACGAGAGGGGACCGAAAGCTGGCCACTGGGCCTGGGCCTGCTGATCATACTTGTTGGACTAATTAATCACTAATCAATGCATCTGCTGGGGAAGATTTCGTTGATGTGAGGGGAACTTTCTGGATTTCTCCCTGTATCCTTCATTCGAGAAGCAATTTGCACCAGACGGAATCCAGTCTGATGAAGGAATCCAGTCCGAAGACATTCTGGATTTACACCTTCAAACCATCCGAGTCTGATGTCCTCATGGTCCTGACGTCGGTCTGCCAGGTGCAGCTGGTGGCTTTGCGCAAGATGTTCGCTGACGCAGGTGGCTCCGACCCGGGCGATCCGGAGGTGACGTCCGTTTGGTTTGAGCAGCTTGGAGGTGTCGGAAGGATCTAGTAATCTGACGGTAATCTGACAGATTGTCTCTGAGGTTCATTCCTAAACACCTCCGCAGTTAGGGACTGAGCGCTTAGATCCACTGGAACTTGAGACCAGCCCATGGCCCATGACTCTAATCTATAATCATCGATTGCATAGATCAGCATGTATTATAGATCTGCCCCTTGCTTGGTTTTTGAGCCAGGTCAGGAATGCCTGCCGGGGAGCCTTCAACGGCGTCGAAACGCGCGGGGTGTCTTCGCCGTCCGCCGCGCCACCCACAGAGGGCCTCCACAGCGCGCCACCCGCGGGTTGGAGTGGATCCTGACTGCACACCGGATGCTTGGGGCATCGCGCCCCCCTCCGATCCCACCGGACCGAGTCAGACCCGGACGCCCGCATCCGCGGCCTGTGCCGCCCAGGGTGTGGGAGAGATGGATCCCCATGGGCATGTCCAGTGCCAACCACATGTCCGGGCAACCCGATCCGCACCGCGCGGGAACTGCCCGAGGATGGGCGGAGGGAGTTGCGAGAAGCGCACTTTGGGAGGCTTAGCCATGAGCCACCGAGATTGGCTGATGCCAAAGAAGGGGCATATCATATCATCATGTATCACATGATGTCACATGTGTGAAATTCACCTTTACAGGGGGTCTCCAAATGGCACCCGAATGAAGGATCTGGCCATGGGAGTCCAGAACTGAACCGAATCGATTGATTTGGCACTCCCACATTTTGCCAGGCAAGTGCAGGTGCTGCCCATCGATAAGTCTCGTCGGAGCCTTGCAGTGACGGAGCTGGCCAAGCTGCTGCATTGATTCCCGAGTCATCCACCTTGGACCTGTGGGGGCTTACTGTAGGACAAATTATAGAACAATCTTGATTTGGAGGTCACGGTGTGGAAAGAAACCTAAGACATTCGCTTCCAGAATCTTGCAGAGGGAGTGCAGGTTCAGAAGGTTGAGATCTTGAGCTTCAGCGCTCGCCAACGGAGTGGCATGGGGAGTGGCCGATTTCTTTCCTTTGAGGATCCCCCCCTAAGGCACTTAAGGTATACTCTTGATTCATAGGCGCGTGGCAGATCTGCCAGGTGGACAACACTTCATCAATGCATGCGTTTTGGAATCAGACCAGGAGCTTTGTCACAACATCACTCAGGGACACAAAAGCTGCAGCTTTTTGAAGGTTCCCCCCTTTGGTGAAGAACCTGTTCATGTAAACTCTTGATGAATCACCCCTCCATTTGGCGTGTGAAATCTCTTCATATGAAGGGTTGAACTAAGTTGAAATATCATCAAGAGTCTACCAACCAGAAGTCACATGTCGGGGTGGTGTGAAACGTCCCCTTACGTGAGTGGATGTTCTCAACACCCCACCCCGACCTCCTATGGATCGCACCCCGACCTGGGACCCTGGTCACTTGGATCCCTTTAACGGGGTGTCACTGACCGTCGTATTTGGCTGCTGCCTTTCTTCGGCTCGAACCGGACTGGCTGGTGAGGTCGGGCGGCCCAGGTCGGGCATCGCTACATAGACAAGTGATGCCATGGGATGGTGGAAAGAAGCGAATACGAGTGAAGTTGGTGCAATGCAAAGCTGATGTGGTTGCTTGGATTTGCGCAAGGCCTTCTTTGTATCATAGTATATTGATTATTGTGCCTTGAAATAGGAACTCAAGGAAGAGTGGGAAAAGTACCGGAGTATTGGGCAGTTTTTGCATCTTTTGGACCTGACATTTGCTTTGGAGGTACGTCTGATCATTAGCTGGACCCTCAAACAATACTTTGGAGGGTGTGACCAGTGGTGTCACGTTCGGGTGGAGAAGATGTGTCTGACGGTCGACCTGGGCCCCGCTTTTCTGAAGTCCAAAGGTTGCCGGGAGTTGGTGTTTGCGAGGTCTATTTTGTTTGTTATACCAGGACCCTCCTGTCGGTGCCCTGTCTGGAAGCCTATATATAGGTAGTGTGGGGTAGTTCAGCCAGGACACCCCTTGGAGTGTTTGTTTTGTATATTCTTTTGGTTTTGTTTCTTCCCTCTTCCGCCGGTATCGAGCCTGCTTTGCGGAGTTCGGCAGGAAGGAAATCGCCGGGTTCCGAAGGTCGCATGGAACGTGGAACCTGAACAACCATGGACCAGACTGGAAGATAATGTAGACTCTTGATTAATAACCCCCCCCACTTTGAATCAGAACATCCTCTTCATATGGGGGGGTTTATTAATCAAGAGTCTACATCATATTTTTTGGGAATGAATTTTGCCCTCTACAACCTGACGTGGGTCTCTTCCGGGTGTGACGTGGCCTTCTCATCCGGTTTCCATTGATAGATACCGCGCCCATGGCATATCCGGGAAGAACACCAACATGGCGTTCTCTTTTCAGACCTTGAAGCACCACCTCTTGTACATTGTATGGCCAGGTGTTCTTTTTTTGCGAGCGGGACGCTATGTGGGTATGTGTTTCCCAGTGTTTTGTTGATTTTTGCTTACGTTTTTGGACTGTTTAGTTGCACTGAGTCTAGAATTGCGTGTGGTATTGTAATCAGTCCCAAAAGATGCCACAGCAGTTTGGAGCCTTCCTTTGTTACAAGGATTCGCCCTTGACCTGTGGAACCGCCATTCACCCCTGACCTGTGGCAATGGTACTGCAAATGGTGGTGATAATGCTAGTGGCAATGGCTATGCTAATGGCAATGGTGATGGTAATGCCATTCACCTTTTGCCATACGGGAACTTGATGCCATTCACCCCATGACCTGTGGGAGCTTGATGCCATTCATCGTTGTTGACCTGTGGTAAGGGCAATGCTAATGGGAATGGTAATGCCATTCACCCCGTGACCTGTGGCGATGGTTCTGCCGCCAGGTGCGAGAGACGGCGAGGGCGGTCGGCTGGCGCGAGTGTGACCTGGGCCACTCGGTGCCGGGGGTTCTGACGGCGATCTGAAGCACCTTCTTTGGAAGCAGTGGTTTACAATAGACTAGAAGGGGTGGCCGGCCCGGGCAGCTGTGAAAACATGCCTCAGCAAAGCGAGATCAAGACGTCGATGGCAACATGACGCCCAGGCATCACTGGGGTGGTGACCTCCCAGACCCCTCATCATCAACTCGAATGGACATGTTTTTTTTAATAAATGTCCGTTTTCACTGCAACACCAAGCGTACTTGGATCCTCCGTACGCCGCTGGGAAGCTCCAGATGCTGCACCGAGGCGACGACAACTGGGATGTGGCCTGGGCGGACACGACGGCTGCCTTGTTCCGAGCAGTTCAGCAAGTGAAACCTTTCCAGCGGGTGAACCACTTCCCGCCGCTTGGAGTTTAGCTGAGCCGTGCTGGTTTGGCCAGGGTTGGGTTGAGGTTGGGCATTGGGTACCCACAAGATTCCACAGGGGTTCATTGAAGATTTTTGAAGAAGTAAGACTATGGGGGTGGTTGTCAACCAATTAGAGTCAAGAAGGGCAGGTGCGAAACGAGCTAGCTGCACCACCTGGCAGTTGGAGGACGGCATGATGTACACGGTGCGGCTACAGCCTCCCACTCACCACGTTCATCGAGGGGGAAGGTAGCGGCTGATGCTCATGGTCTCGGATTGGTGGAATGCTGAAACCTATGAAAGGGCAGCAGGGCCTGTATGCTCACTTGTGGTCGATCAAACATTCTCTTGGACGACACTGATATGTGATGCCTTTGGCCTGGAATAGCGGAATCACAACCGGAAGGCCAAAGCCACCGAGGAAAGGACATGTCAAGTCACAAAAATGACCACGCATCACAAGGCCGGAATGTATTGGACCTCCTGATGCAATGCTCACCACCCCACTTCATCCAGCAGCCGCCAGTAGCAACCCTTTGTTACCAGCTACACTTCGAGCAGACTCATGACTAATGCCCTTTGAGGGGCAAGTTTCATGAGCAAAGAAGAATGCATCTTCGAGATTGCTTGACTCATGTCCTATAGCTAATCTGAACAGAGGTGCTAACCAGTGCAATTGGGTGTGCAAAAGGGGGTTCCCATGTTTGCTTGAGTGGGGCAATGCTTTCTGTCTTGACATCGTCCGAGGTTGATGCAGATCATTTGCCGGAAGGATCTCTTAGCACAGCATTTGCAGACGATCCGACAGCTCTGCCCCAGCGGGGCACAGGAGTTTAGCTGCTCAGCGGGCCATCACACGGATGAGAGATTGAGATGGGAAGGTGGTTGATATTGAATGTATATAGGGAGGGGCAAAGCATGACAAAGTGCAACGAGTCTTTTTGAATGGATTGACAGTAGATGGCACAATCTCCAAAGTGTGGTTTATATGGACTCCAAAAAGGGCATCTGGGGTGCCAGTGCCATCGAACCTTTGAAACCACTCTACGTCCCCCGATCCCATGGTGAGGACCATCCAAAAACCATCCAACTGACCGGGTGGCAACCGCGCGCAGGGTTTCACCTGGCGCCTCGTTTCAACGACGTTCCGGTCAACTGACCACATTCCAAAGGCCAACGAACTACACGATTCAGGGTTCCATTTTCTGGTGGTGGTTTGGTCACCCTTGAACCAGGTTTTTTCTTTGGTATACTGTAATTCGCTGGCGTTGCTCTCCAAATCCATCGCTAAGGCTTCTTCCCCGAGACGTGGGTCCTGCCTGGCCGCTGGGCAGACGGGATAGTCGAAACGGCACATGCCAAGAAAGACCGTGGGTTTGTGGTCGAGAACCGGCAACCCAAAATCAAGCAAGCAACCAACAAGTTGCTTGGAGCAGATCGACATAGAATCAGGGATGATCAGGGCAAGCGCTACTATTTTTGCTAGCATATTTTCCAGATATATAGAAGATGAATGAAACATCCGGCTCCGATGTCGCCCAGGTGACTTGCAACGTTTCTGGACCTTTGTCCAGCAAAGCTTCGAGAAGGCGTCGCCGGCCAAGGAGATCTGACGCTCCAGCTTCGGCAAAGGATTCCCAGACTTCAGCGACCTTCAGATCCTAAAGGAGGTGATATAGATGCAGAAAGCACATCCCACCACATCCCCCTTGGTTTCTACCTATTTTGGGGATATGCCTATTCCTATGGCTATTAAGCTTATCATTGATGTATCGCATCCCTGAATCCATAATGAAGATTGACCCGTCGCACCAAAGAGCTCGGGACCTGGACCCCTGCGAGACGGGACCGAGCCTCGCGCCGCGCGGCCAGGAGTCCCGTGGCCGGGAGCGCTCCAAGTCCTTCGGACGGCGCTCGCAGCGGTCGCAAGGCGCGGGGAACGCGCGGTGAAGGCGCCGAGTCCCGGAGGGGAGAAGGTCGCATCAGACGGGGTGACCCCAGGGCGGACCCAGGCGCTGCTAAAGCAATGTTCTTTCTTCTCTAACATGGGCCGCATGCAGGATCGAGACCAGAGAGACATGCACCTTTGTGCGCTTTTGATTGGGTAGACATGGCCTTTTGAGGATCTTTCAGGGGTTAGCGGCGAATTGCTCCCAATCCTCCCACATAGTGGATTCCAGGAGGAGCTCAGGGGACATGCAAAAGAAGAAGGCCGAAGACCAAAAAGGACTCTGTGATGTCGCACCACCTAACATGGTTTCCATTCATATTCTTTTCGAGAGGGCAGGACCAGCCTCAAGTATCGTGAGCCGTTGAGCTGTTGAGCTCTTCAGCCGACCCGGCGCAGGCAGATCAGTCGACCCCCACACGTCCGATGACGAAGATCAGGACGTAGATCATCGGTGACCGGTTCAGTGGCCAATGGGGTTCAGTGGTTCCCTAGTAGCTCCCCAAAACCCGGCCTCTGGCATCTTCCCACAATGAATTGCCAAAAACAACACCTTTAAACCATCTAGTCACTATAGAAGCTACTGGGTGGAGGCCATCGCTAGCTTGGAGGCCGCTACGAACGTCACAATAGCTGACTCTAGTCACGAGGTCATCGCAGCCGTCTATCGTTACGATCGTTTCACCCTCATCCCATCACAATAGGCGCCTCATCCCATCCCAGGAGCCGATGACCTTCATCGCCAAGCCTCGCTCCGCGGCGCGCGGCGAGGGGATCTTCCTTTTCCAGGCGCTGCAAAAAGACGCGGCGCGCCCCGCGCGTGCAGCGCGCGGTGGTGGAAGAAACATCATCCAAATTCATCAGACTTCCCAAAAGATTGGAGGGATTGGAATGGATTCTCCTAGCATGACAAAAATTGCTGTTTTGGTGGATGTCCCAAAACACTGCATTGGAATTCTTTGAGGCACACAATGGATGATGATGTCCTTTTCAACGCCTTTTATATATACCCAGACGCTCCATGGGACTGCCATGTTTACCGACATTGGGGTGGTGCCAGGGGGGGGTCAATGGATCGGCATATCTTCCAGTCCCAGACAGGTCGTGTCTGGGATATAGACATCTTCACTCCAGCCGCCCGGAGTCCTCGGCCTCTTCGTCCGCTGTCCGTCCGACCCCCGGTCCTCTGCAGATCACGCAGGTGAGGGCCTCAGACCTGCGGGCTCCGCGCCAGCGGCTCCGGGAGGCGACGCACGACTGGACTGAAGTCGTTGCTTCGGGTCGTGTGGTCCGAAGGATCTTTTCACCCCATGGTGTTTGTTTTGATGTTCGCTGTTTTTTTTTCTTTTCTTTGTTTGATTGTCCTTGTTTCTTTTTCCTGGTGCTTTTTTGGGATTGGCCCGGGTGTGATATGTGTTCTGTGGTTGCCGTCTTTCTCCGGACATTTGCAGGGCGTGCTGAGTGGGAGGAGCCATGTTGAAGCGAACGTGTGCAGTTTGAAGGTTCTTTGATTATCCTCAGTGTTGAAAGTGTTTTTTTCTTCGGAGCAGACGGTTTTCTGAGTGCGGGGATTGTTCGGAAGACATGTCCTGGATTTGAAAAGAGATGTTCGAAGAACTACCTGGATTTGGTCGGAAGATATGTCCTGAACACACGGAGCAACACAGCAACTTTCGGAACATGCATGGATCAGAATGAACCTGTATAAAGATTATAAAGATGCCCTGCATGAAGCTTTTTGGTGGATGACAACAAGTTTCTATGCACTCGTAAACCTGTGACTATAGGTAGGGAATCACCAGGCCTGCCAAAAGCGAGTTTCATGATTTTGTACTTCTACCGGGACCCTCCAAGGGGTGTCCAATGAACTACCCCACACTACCTATAGGCTTCCATTGGGCACCCCTTGGAGGGTCCTGGTATGGACTTTGCATTCGAATCCAGCTCGGTTCAGGACTTACTCCTGTCACCCACTCTTCATCTGCGAATTCCCAAAGGAGGCAACACCTCCCGCAACATGGTGGCCCAACATGATAGCGGGCATCGATAGCATGGGTACCTATACTCACTGGTGCCCTGGAGGTCTTTGATGCCGAGAAACTAGTAGTCCAGAGCTTCCTGGAGAAACCGCTGCTGATTGACGGCTATAAATGGGACATGCGTGTGCCTTGGCAGATTCCATGTCAACTCCAGGATGATGCGGAGGATGGCGGCATTGTTGCGAAAGGATTTGGGCCGTCTTGCTTGGTTTGGGCCGTTTGAGGTGTGGGAGAGTGGGCCCAGTCAACAGGATGCTTCCTCACTTTCCTCAATGACCAGGTGAGTTGCCTTTTGTTCCTGGAACACAGTGCTACATGTCAGGAGGAACTCTGGTCATGGCTGCGAAAAAAACACGGCTCAGGTGGTATGATCGGTTGCCAATACTGTTCCTTCGTGATTCCAGCAGGAAGGGGAAGTTCTGTGACCCGCGAAAAACCCGATCCCTCAGTTTGAAGCTTCAGTTCTGCCGAGAATGGACTCGCAGGTGAGATCATCAGATGTAGGACCTAAACATGCCAAATCCTGGAATGGCAGCACAGAAGCGTGTATCACCATGTATCACCGTGTATCAAGTGAGATCATCAAGTATCACTATGTCTCCTCCCTCTCTCTCATTCTCGTGTGTGTGAACACCAGGAACCCCCATATGTCCGATCCTTCAATCCCATTCCATCGGGGAGCAAGCACAGGAGGCGTCTCTTTTCCGGAGTCCAAACGACGGAAAGCCATCCGAGCCAAGATGGCCTGGGGTCCGTTGAGACCGAGGGGTGGTGGAGGGACACCCGGGGCATCACCGGAGAGGTGTGGGAGGATTTGGACGCCGAAGAAACAGTCCGGTGATCCCTGGGGTTGGGTGCCCTGCAGCCAGATCCAGTTCTTTTCCGCAAAGAGATTCACCAGAACATGCGTTGATTCAGATGTTTTTAATGGATTTTAACTGGGCTGTTTCAGGTCTATTTCATGTCATCCCAGGTCTATTTCATGTCATCCCAGGTCTATGTCTTAGTGACCTCGGCACATCCCTTGACCGTCTACTTGTACACGGATGGCTTGGCACGCTTCTGCACCGACCTCTACGCACCGCCCTCGAGCGAGAATCTGGAGATGCGGGAGATGCATTTGACGAACTTCTCCATCAACTGGGAATCTGAGTTCTTCGATGCTCGGCTCGGAAAGAATATGAAAGATGTGTGATCAGTGTGATCAATATGGTGTTATGTGATGTAAGGGATGGTTTGATGCGTTTGATGGAACACCTCCGATATTCGAACAAACCATGTTCATCCATGTTCATTGTACAAGCGGGTGACTAGATATGTGCGCAACCGCCAAAACGTCCAATGACTAATTTAGTAAAGAGCGGCCGTGAATTTCACTAATTTGGCTAAAACCGGTGAAAGCGATAGGCCCCCCTCAAAAGCGATAGCCATATCCATGCAGTATTTGGATATGTTCAGCTATGTTGACATTGTGGCAAATACCTACAAAAGCGATAGGCCTCCCTCAACAGGGATCCTGACTTGACAGTGCATTTAATTTTGGCAGACGCTCATATAGATAGATATGATAGAGAGAGAGAGAGACTGCGTACGGATGTTTATCGAACCTAAGGTTCAGGACGCGACGTGTTTTGGCGGCCGTTTTTGATGCATATTCAAAAGGTGAACCGTGTTAAGGGACATTGTGTTGCATCCGTACGACCAGAATTGAGTGGGTTTGTTCATGTTGTGAGGCAGCCGCAACGTTTGCTATAAGGCCAAATCCTTGTGTGGACAGACGCTCTCCTGCCAGATTTTGGCCACAAGTTAACTGGCTGTTGGAAAACCAGATGTCAAAGACAAAGGAGAAACGAGTGTTTCCAGGACAACTATATATAGGAGTCACTAGCAGTGCGTGCCAAGCAGTCCAGGAAGGGCCTAAGAATACCAAGTAGTCAGGCCAGATGTTTGTGAGTTTTCTTTCTTTCCGGTGTTATGTTTCTTGAATGTTAGCAACATTTCATCACATGTACCAGGATCATGTCCCATGGTGTCCCATAGACGAAGTGCTAGGTGCTAGGTGTTGTTTTTCACAGGTGTAGCGGACACCTCAGACCTCGTAAACATGTGTTTCAGTGCTGGACCCTGTGTATTTGCAACAGGGTGACTGCATGTTGGACATCATGTAGACTCTTGATGATCAGAAAAAGCAGATGAAGGGGTGTTGCGATCCATGTTCGGGGCCTTGAATGATCCAAGACTTTCCATGACTTTGGCGATGATCGCCGTTTGATTCACTCCTCATTCCTCGAGGGCGGATGGGGGGGGTTCGACGGTCAAAGACTGAGGAAGACACGGAGGATGGAGCCACTGGCAGCAAGCGCTCTTTGCGTACTGTACTGGAATCCTCGATCGAAAATGGCCATGGCCCCAGCCGGAGTGGGGATCAACTTTTGAAATCCACGCAGGCGTCGTTTCTAGCAAGGCGAGATAACCATAGTATGCCAGAGCCGTTGATTTGGATGTTCATTTACATGCAAAGGAAACAGAGAACCAACAGGTGGATGTTCTGCATTCTGGACTTGCATCTCTACAGTGGTTTCAGAGGCTCGATGGCACAGACCCCAAGATGTCCTTTAGATGGGGATCCAACCACCTTTTGGGGATTGAGCCATCTACTCTCAATCCACTGTAAATGCAAGGATCCCAAACGTTTCAATGCATATCTTCACGAAGAAACGTGGCCGAATCCAACGCACCGGTCTTGATATAGAGGTCGGTCTTCCATGGACATCGAACAATTCGACTCGTGTAGTGCCAATGTTCAACGGCCCCCCTTCGGGGCTCCAGTCGTACCTTCGTCAGAAGGTGGGACTGGGGCGGGTGCCGCTAGGGCCGCTAGGAGGGTACGACTGGAGCCCTAGGCCCTAGGGCAGGCAATCTGGCAATCGTGGCACCTTGAGCAACATAGAAGGGCTGGCCCCTTAAAAGGCCAGAGCCACGTGAGTTTGGAGTTGGGACTTCGTACTTCGTGAGAACCTTCACTCCATTCTCACGTGCCGGCACGAAAAAGATGCAATTGGTTTTGGACTGCTTGAGCTTCGTAAACAGGTGCAACTTTATTTTAGTGTGCTGGAGTGGGTATCCCACTCGGGCCTTCCTCAAGACCACTTTAGTGGGGGACCTGCTTGGTAGTTTGTCCATGTTTGTCCAAAAGGTTGCTAACATACCCAGACACTCTACGTATGGCATATTTACCTACATTGGGGTGGTTTGAGGGGTCAATTATATGACATACATGGAGTGTTTGGGATATACAACAGACACATTGTTGGGCGTGTTTGGGGCGTGGCCGGCGTGGCATGACGATCCGATCGGACGAGGCGAGGAGATTTGGTCGGCGATCGCGTGCTGCGTGAAGAAGACGCTGCTGGCCATTGGCCCAAAGATGGAGGTGCAAAACACAGAAGATAGCGGTGATTATAAACCTCCACCAGTGTTTGCAGAGCGGCATTGCTTGAAGAGCCGGGTCAAAACCATGGGTGAGATGCTGCACCACCGAGAAATTTGGTGATGAAAACAACACCTCCACCGGGTGTGGTGTTGTAGGAGCATGGCTAGAAGAGCTGGGTCAGGAATGGTGTCGGAGTTTTTTTGAGCTTGGATTAATTTACTATTCTTTCTTTTGGATGCTTTTGTTTCTTTTTGGGGGGAGCGCTGGCTGGGGCATCCAACGGCTCTTCCCCTGTTGGACATCAATTTGTTTCAGATAGTATGTAGACATCCCAGTATTTGCAGCGTTTTCATTTGTGCCTCCCCCTTTTTTTCAGCAGTCGACTTGGCCCCTGGCTTTGCTACCCCGGGCGCCACACACAAAAGGCGAACCACAAGGCGATGCCTCACCCATGCACCGTCGGATGCCTTGAGCCCTGCGGTAGTCACCGTCGTTTTCGATGGGGATCTATAGTGGGTGTGCTTAGTCAAACCAGTCGTCCCAGTCGTCCCGAAGCCAGTGCGGCGGAGTTGCTGGCGGACACCGTGGTCCGAACCCGCCCGTGGCACCGTGGCACCGTGACGGACGCGGAGAGGACCACTACGACCGCTTCTTTGGGCGGTCGCGCGACGGGGGCGGCAGCGCGTGTTTCGAGCTCTTGGGCTTCGACTTCATCCTCGATGAGCAGCAGAGGCACTGTCGACAGAGAGAGAGAGAGAGAGAGATTAGCAGTTCCAAGATGTTCCAAAGGGGTGCTTCAGGTGCCTATTATCCACTCACTGAGGGACTAGAAACATCTAGAAACCATTCTTCCGACCTGGAACTGCTAGGGGCGATGCGTGGCTTCTTACCTTAGGGATCGATGATCTCAATCCTGGCCACCAGGTGCGTAGAATCCTGGAGGTCCTGAGGCCCTTGGGTCACGAAAAATCAGGTAGGAGTCTTGGAGTTCCTCTAGAAGGGGTCATGACAACAAATTTCACACATTCCATCACCAATATGATATTATAATGTGTGAATATGATATGACTTGGTGATGGAATATGAACTTTTGGATATATTTCAATTTTTTTTGCATATCATTTGATAGCTATAGTTGTTGTGCTACCATGCTGGGATTGAATTTCTTGTTCTTCTATAGTTGGACCTCGGTTGACCAGATTGAACCGGTGGCCTCTCACGTAGGATGTGTTGATATGTTCAAATCTTGGAAAGCAACTGAGCAACTGCAAACGAACTCGCTTTTGACCAAACAGGGCGCGACATCTTCCTAATGCATCCTAAAGCAACAGGTACTTCATGGTACTTCGCACCCTCTCACGTATAGTTATTACTCACGACATCATCATCATCATCATCCTCGTCGTCGTCGTCATCATCATCATCATCGTCGATGGTCGGATCAGCCGGACAATTCGGGAGGCCGGGATTCCAATGGCTTCGCCCTTATGCCTTATGCATCACTCCGCCTGGGTTGGGTTTGAAACAGGCTCTACTTGTTGGAGGTCAACTCGGCCCCTTCCTTGTCATGCCCCACCAGCTTGGATCGCGAGATCAAGGAGAATGTGCTCTCGGAGGCGCTTCGACTTCACCCGTGCCGTGCGGTGGCAGGGAGGCGCCGCCTCGGCGCTCTGCTTCGCCACTTTCAGTGGACGCGCCACAGCGGCGCAAGGTCGGTCACCGGTCACCGTGAATGGAGGAACCATGAGGAACCTTTTTCCCAGGAAAAGCCGAGGATTGGGCGGATTGGTTGGGTGTGAAAAGGTTTGGTGTGGTGGCCAGTGGCCATTTCTCACACAGACATGGGCATCTTGGAATCACTTGAACCGGATTTCGAAGTCCCCCCGTGCCAGGCACGCCCTGCACCGAGGGTCAGGTCAGGTCTTGCGGGTCTTGCATGCTAGCCGCTTATGCCGCCTTCCAAGACCCTTCAGGAAAGCTTGCAGCGTGACGTGTGCTAAGTAATCGATCAAGACGACCTTGGAGGCTTTTAGATCAAGTTTGCGGGCCATGAGTCCCAGGTTTGGCTGGTCTTGAGCATGACTCTTGTCTTTTACACCAGGTTGGCAATCCGTCCCATCTGTCCCACGATTGGCCAGGGCTTTCGCTTGCTGCGCTTGGATGGGTCTGAGAAGGCGTGGCCGAAACGTATGGGAATGTCCGATTTGGTTTTGGCCGAAAAGGAGCTGTTTGTGCATAATCATTAAAATCTTAGCACATTAACATTTTAGCATTGAATTTCTTTGTTTAAGGTTTTCTTTTGCACTCCTTCGCTTGGGTGGTGGTGGAATGGTAACACCAGTCAGACCTGGCAACACCATCAAGGATAGGTTCAGCATAGAATCAGAACGAGGGTGCTGTCCAGTCCATTTCCAATAGTTTGTACCAGCACCACACAGAGGATACTTAGTCGATGGTAGACACTGCACATTTCGTGGTAGGGGGGACTTTCAACCACCCCTCTGTCGCTGGTAGAAGATTGTAGAGTTGATGAGTCTATCTAGATAGTGCGTCCCATTGCCTGTAACAGTCGTTAAAGGGCTATCACCACTTCTGAGCAAGGCCTGCAACCTAACCATCATGATCGGAGGGAATGGGATATATGATATATACACCCAAAGTTGATGAATGCCCAAAAAGTTTTTGTCCTGAATTTGTGAAAACCTTCCCAAAACCTTCCGCATCGACACAAAAACCCCCGGTTGACCGATGTTGTGGTTCACCAGCGAGTCCCGCCGATGGATCACATGTCACATGGCGTCTACGTGGTGACGGTGCGACTGTCAGAGCCTCCCGGGCGTATCCATAGGCCCCCCTTGAACGCCCTTGAAACGGGGGAACCCAGGAGCTCAGCAGGGGCTATATACTAGAGATAATTGTTTATGACTGTTTCAACTTGTTTCACTCGCCAAGTTGCCCAAAAATGGACTCCACTCAATCTGAAGCTTTTCCACTGAAGCTTTCCACGGCGATTTGGCTAGAAACCACCGGCACCTCGGGCGGGTCGGAGCTCTAGGTGAAGCACGCCGAGCGGCAGCAGCAGCGGCTGGTCGACCGGCACAAGGAACACTTGGCACGGCGTGAGGACCCGGCGAATCGACGAGCCAACGAGTCGCGTCGCGTCGCGCGTCGCGTCGCGCGTCGCGCGGGTGAGGACCAGGCGGCGAAATCTCTTTTGGTCGGGTTTCCCTCGCGCGGGCGAGCGTGCGGTTCCATCGGTGGTTTGGATTTGGTTGATGATGATGCTTCCTGTTGAGTGGGTCTTCAAACGCGCTTCACTGGTTCAGCCCCAAGGTTGCAGGGAGCCCCCACCAGCCTCCAGAAAGGTCATTTGGCGCATTGCTCAGTTGAGAAGTTTGCCTTCCACCGTCGCTTTCCAGAACGACGTCACTGAGCTGTCGCACCACAGCTCAGGTGGGAAAAGAGACCCCCCCAAAGTATGCCTTGTTGATCCAAGCATCCAAACTGGGTTTGTGCTGGTTGAGACTCGGGCTGTTCTCTCTCTTGTTGTCAGCTTTGGTTGACCGTGATTTGGCAGCTATGTGACTCTGTCACTCCATAGCTGAGCAAGCAATTCTTCGCTTCGTACTCTCAAAGATCAGGATTGGGCAAATCATGGGCAAATCTCACATGGTTCTCTTTGGGTTTTGCAAGCACATTTGAGTACCAGCTTCATGGGGTGTATATGGGTTTATCGTCAGCTCAGTTCAACGACACATCCGCATGGCAAACGCAAGTTAGTCTCCAAACCAATTCTTCCGGAACTTCCAAACGCCTCACAAAGAGAACCAATCAAAAATGCGGAAGAAGATGACTTCCGGAGGAGCTGGCCAGACAGAAAGAAGATTGCAGGAGCGGGTCGCGGGTCGTGGGTCGCAGGACCTGGAAGGTGATGAGAGCACTTGGTGAAGGTGCCCACCACGGATGAACAAGTTGTTGGATGGATTCTGATGTGGCTTGGAGTCATACACACAAATATGTGTAGATGCATGTAGATACAGCCACATGTAATGACAGAATACGACTTCGTAATGTACACATTCTAGTTTAATATGTTTTTGTACACGTACACTTCATGCATGGGATAAGTTGCCAGCATTGAAGACTGTTTTAGGGGCAAACTACTTAAGAACAACATATTCCAAAGAAGGAGGTTGATTGACTACTTGCCCAGAAGTGCCCAATCACCATCCATGTGTGGAATACTTACATACATTGATCCCATTTTTTATGACTCTATATATCACGCGTGTGAACTATTCCATACACGGATGGTTTCGGATCTGCATGCGACTGCAGACGACCCGCAGCGCCTTTGACACATCAAAGGCCCTCCGGGACTCCGCCCAGCACCACGCCTTGCCGCAAAGGTGGTGCAGGTCAGTTCTCAGTTCTGAGTCACCTCGAGACTCTCCAGAACTGCGGACCCAGTTTTGCATGTCCTTGCTGCTCACGGGTCGGTTTTCGTTATGATCAATTGGTCTCTCTGCAGCAGTTCGGTCGAGCTTCCATGGTACCAAGCTTGCAGCAGCTTTGCCTCCACCGACTCGCTCGCCTCACGTGCCCCGTGGAAGACGTCACGTTTGCAGAGCTGGAGCGTTTGCCGGAGCGCTTGGCCTTGCAACTCCTTCTGCTGCTCCGACAGGGTCTGGCAGTCCACCGGGTGGGCCTGGCAGGCTGGGTGCAACAGAGGCCTCCACGGGAATTGCAGCTGAGTGGGTCGCCTGGAATTGAGACAGAGAGGCCAGGCTGAGAAATGAGCCCCCAACTAATCCCTGCACCTCCAGTCATACCTCCACAGCAAGGTGTTTAGACCCGCACCCGGACCCCCAGTCCCACCTTCTCAGAAGATACCACTGGAGGCCTAGGGTCATGGGTTTTGGTCTGACGGGCTCGCCCAAGTTCGGTCTCATCCTCGGCCCGACTGGCCATGTTGGGTCATTCTTCGATGTGGTCATGTGCCATTCGGAGACCGGGGCGGCGGTGTGGGTGTCCTGCCTGGGTGTGCTGCGGAAGGAGGAATGAACACCATATTGCACCGAGCCTGGGGTCAGTATCACGCCAAAAATGAGTGGATTTCTTGGAGATCTCGCCAGGAAGTACCAAGAATGTGGTTTCCAGATGCCCTGTTCTTATTGGTACTTCCTGGCGAGATCTCCAAGAAATCCACTCGTTCTGCCTGCCTGGCATTCTCCCAAGAAGCATCAACAACAAAGGCCTTGGCTAGCCAAATCCCAGCGTCAACGCCAACCTGGTGAGTATCTCCCAGGTCCACCGGCCCTGGACGAGCAACTGGTCGAGAGGATGGATTACGTCGACTGGTGGAGCTGAAGGCCACTCGTTGCTTGGTCGAGGTGTGCTTGAGCCAGGTGAATTGTACAGATGAACTTCTGGGAGACTTGATGTGCTCGTCGTCGACATCCCTTCAGATCTTACAGCTGCAGAATTGTCCGCTTTTGACGGGCCAATTTCTGGTGAGGTGTCGAGCTGAACGTTTGCAGCAACTCAGGTGCGGCATGTGATTCCCCCATTCGATTGCTGGGTTGTTCACCACAAAATTCACTTATAATTCTCTATATATATATATTTCCTGATAAAGGCTGCTTTCAGCTTGCAGCTTGCTGCTTCAACTCTTCTCCAACCATCCCTCACCAGCTATTTGTACTAGCAGCCCCCCCCCCCCTCGCGCAGAAGCCGCGGCCCCCCAAACACCGGAATCCTCGAGGTGGGGACCTTCTTTCTTTCTCCTCCACACCCTCCAGACAGGCCAACGACCTTCAAACATCCCCCCCCCAGGTGGGGTGATTTGTCCAGATTTCCCCGGCTGCCGGAAAAAGGCATCCAATGACTAAACCACCCTGCGAGTCCAGTCGACCATTTGTTTGAATGGTCTGACCAGGTGATGAACGAAAAAGGCATTTCCTTTGCTTCGGTGCCCACCATGGACTTCTAGGGTCAACATCTCCAAGATCCCAGCTGTCCCAGCCCTTGAGGTGCTGTCCCAGCCCTTGAGGTGTAGCAACTGTTTCAACTTCCAGGACCTCTTCCTTTGCGAGGCTTTGTCCAACTTAGAGCATCTCCGTCACCTGAGCCTCGGTGGCTCCACGCGCCTCACGGACGCCCTGCTGGCCGGCCTCACGGGCGGCTTGGCGCCGAATGTGCCACCGAGGGTGGCGGAAGAGCTGGAAGTGCTGGACCTCTCACAGAAGCTCAGCAGGCGGATCAGCATGAGTTTGTACTATTTGATGATATTTGATGCTATTTGTAAACTTGTATGTGCGATTGCTCCCATTGTGGAAGAACAGCACTTTTTTACATGACTAACTTCATGTGGACTCTCAGCCTGGGCCTTGACGGTGCGCGTGTCCAAGACATTGAATGCAAATTATCCCCGCGACATGCACCAAAAGGAGACTGTAAGCCTATGAAGGCAAACCTGTACAAGCCATAATGTTGACTGTTGATTGATATACCCCCTACCAGATGTTCAAAAAAAAAACATGTTTTAACATCTCGAGATGGGGGTGGTATCAATCAAGAGTCAACATGACCTTCCGCAACATTCACAGAACTGAAGAACGTCCCCAATGGTTTGTACCGGAAGATTGACGTCCGAAGTGCCACACCATCCTTCTTCTTGAAGAGAAGGTGTCAGCCATGAATATGACAGTTGTCACTCACAGGTCTTCGCAGAACCACCATGTAGCCCCCAAACCCCCAGCGCAGGAACTGACTCACACGTTGGGGTGGGGCCCGCATCACCGCGCGCCCCCCCAAATCCACCAGCTAAGGACCCAAGTCTCTGATTCTGGTGCTCTAACCTTGTCACGCCTCTCAGCATTGGTGGTGCTGATCCTCTCAAGGACGCAGGTCTCATCCAGTTCTCTTCGACACTTGGCCACTGCTTTGAGACTTCGCCCCCCTGCTGCCCGACCGCCCCAAGGACGGCGTTCCGTCGTTTTGGGACGGCACGAGCGATGAAACGCTTTTGCTTGAGGGGATCGCAGGTGTTCATAGCTTCTTGGAGGAGTGCCCAGTGCAAAGTGGAGCATGTTCAAATGAATTCGTTATGTTTTTCAAACAAGTTTTCACGCTGGCTTTGGTCCACCATGGTCCACCCCCTTATGGGGCAGATCGAATCCATTGGACGTGCACCACTTCAGATCCCTTGGAAGGCCTTGTTGCGGAACTGCTCCGTGGCGCAGCGGCTTCAAGGGCATCACTTCTCCTGGGCCCAGGAAGCACCAGGAGCTCTGGAACCCACGGGCCACGGCTCGGAGTGGGAGACCTGGCCGGAGGAAGCTGTGCGGCATGCGGCGGCCATCGTCTTCACTGAGAAAGAGATCGAAGAGATCCTGGGACCTCTGGGTGGATCTTCACCACCCAATAGGGGCGGAGTTGAGGTGGCAATAGATGGAACACACATGGAACACATACGGGTATATTCACACGAACCGGGGGTCTCTAAGTCTACCCCGTGGGTGGTGCTGGGTGTGATTGTTGTCTTCAGGTTGGAGACCTCCATCGAAGGAATTGGCACAAGTCTTTCAACATATAGTCACGGGACTCCCTCGATATGCAGACACTCTGTAGGACTGGGCCATATTTCGATCGGTTGAGGTTTCAAGGAGGGGTGTTTTCCAAGTCCGCATGGAGCCCCTTGAGATCTGCAGACCTGTCGGAGGTGAGGACTTGACCCGACCCCTTCCTTTTTCCTTCCGGACGACGGTGCAAAGGACGAGGCCGAAACGAAGATTTGCTGAGCTGGATAGATCCTCCGTCGTCTCTCCGCGGCTTTGTGGCGCCATCGCACGCAGCGCGAGACCAAAACACGGCGAGCGCGTTGTTCGGACGCAGATCGTCGGGGAATCATCATCGAACTGTAAGAAAGCACCTGTTGGTATTAGAGGATTTCATAGTCATCCCAAGTCGGGGGAATCCACGTAGTTATCGGATGATTCCAAGAGTCCGAGGAGCGTACATCATGCATCCTCATGCCACTTGAGCAGCGGTTTTTTGTCTATGAAAGAGTTTATACAAAAGTGGAACTACTCTTGATGCTGCGTAGGCTATTCTGCTTGGGGGCGTAAGCTTGCGTAGGCAACCGCGTAGGAAAACATAGTAGTGCCTCGCGTAGGCAGATTTGCGTGGTTGTAACTTGGAGTAAATCTAATAACCTGTAACACGGAAAGAACAATGGACCGATATTCATCCTTTAGTTGACTTGCTTGGTGGCTGGTACTTGAAGTTTGAGGAAGTAGATCTTGAGGGATATGAGTGACCTTGTTGCTGTATGCTTCTTGGGGATCACAGTGCGAACACTGTGTGAGGGATTTCGACCACAGGGGTTTGCTGAGGAAAATGTATTGCGCGCCCATCGAGATGGGCTGTGACATGGTTTTCTTTGAGTTTGTCAACTTGTTGAACAAACCGGTACAGTCAGCTTTCTGAGCCTAATTTCCATGGTCATTCACATATGTGCATGTGTGTACAGTACCGGTACAACTGTAGAAACGTGTGACAAGATGCAGGCGTATGCTTTGCGTATGCCTTGCGTAGATGCTCGCGTAGGCTGCGGCTTGGTTTGGAAGGGGTTGGCCCACTTCTGTTTTTCATGCTTGTAACCTATAATGTGAGCCGTTTAAGCAAGCATGTAGTCGTAATTTTTCGTGTCTGTCTCTATGAGCCGCGCCGTGAAAACATGGGACGACTTCACGCCCAAGTACCGCAAAGAACTCGCTCTGTCGCTTGCAGACACCATCATGGAGAAAACCGTTTCCCTTGATGAGGCTGCTTCTTTCCTCCAGCTTGTTGGGCAGGTCATTCAAAAGAAGACGGGGCAGACGCTACGCAACCTTGTGTTTAACCAGGTCGAATTCACCACCAGTCAGGCTGAGACCCTACTTCGCTCTCTAGCTCTGCTCCGGGAGAAGTACGCTACCCACAATAGCCAACTACATCTCCCCAAGGTCAGCGTTCAAGAAATGGATTGCGCCACAGTGAGCTCCTGCATAGCTTTGAAGACCTTGAATAGCTTTGGGTACAACATAGGGAGAAAGGAGTACAAGCACGCAACCTCAACTGAACCAAACTCTGCTGCTCGGCAAAGCCGTGTAGGCCGAACAACATTTCCTTGGCGAACATCCCTCAACCTCCTGGGCCAGAGCCTGGCGATGTCAATGAACTCGTACGACGACATATGGCCCAGAAGCACATTCAGCCTCATCAGCCTGTTGCCCCTGCTGGGGACATTGAGACTTTGCTGAAAAAAGCCGAGGACAGACTGACCAAGGCTGCTTCTAAGAAGCGCCGACAGGCACAGGCTTTGCTGTCTTCATCTTCAAGCTCGTCTTCTTCTGCATCCTCATCTTCTTCATCTGCATCTGCTCCGTGAAGGCAGCGTGCAAAAAAGGCCTCGCGTAGTCGACCGCGTAGGTACCTCAACAAAACCCTCGATCTGGAACATGCTCGCGTAGGCTACCTCACATACTTTTGATATGTCGCGTATTCGCTCGCGTATACATGCCGCGGAGTGTATACTTCCAAGCACCCAAAAAAAACACCACTCACTTGACCATACTTGACCAACAAAAGCTGTGTCGGACGGTCACCAGTTTAACATCACCTTTTTTCAGATAGCCTTGATGGCAGCCTTGATGGTCCTATGGGGAAGTGAGCTCACCCATCTGTTCACTTCCCATCGCTTCCTTCACCAGAGGGAAGTCCTTACTGATCCAGACCTGTGGGTCGAAGCTGGGACTAGGGGCTGTATGGTGCTGCTGTGTGCATTTGGAGAGCGTTCTCCCAAGCAGGCAGCAGTTCTTAGTTCATTTGATTGAATTTGATTCGTGGCAAGGCAGATGTGTTCAATGGCGGTGCGTGGTTCCACGGATCGCTTTTTAAAGAGACATGGACCGTTCTGACGTCTCCGGGCTGTCGATATCCCCAGAGTTCGGGGTGCCTCCCACGCGTCCGTCCGCAAGCGGAGTCGGCTGCACCGGAGCGGTCCACACCAGGAGCTCCGTGGGCTTCTTGAGCTCCACCCACCGCTTCCCCAAGCTGCCCCCAGTGGGAGTGCCGGGCACCCTTACCGCGCCTGTGCCCGGCGCGGTGCCGGTGCCGGTGCCAGTGCCTGAGAAGCGGTCGGAGAAGCACTGGTCCACGCGGCTGGAGGAGGGGGAAAGGGACGAGGAGGTGGGGGTGGTCCTGGGGGGTGTTTCGAATCGAAAAGGCTGCTTGAGATGACAGGTGGTTTGGAAGTAGCTGTAGCTGTATTTCGATGCAACAACTGCCTTGGGCTTCAATAGGTTTCCATATAGTTGCAGAATTTGAAGGAGGTGAATGCAAGCGGTGCAGGATTCCTTGAATGAACGGGGGGCCTCTATATAGAGGCTTAAATGATGTTTATAATAAGCATCATAGATGTCCCAGACACTCCATGGGACTGCCAGGGCCATATATGCCGATCAATTGACCCCCCCAGCCAACCACCCCTGGCCGCACCACTCGGCAGTCCGACATGGCAGTTCCAGACGTGTCGTGTCCGGGACCACCAGCATCCAGGGTTCCATCGCTTAGCTCGCAGAGGAAAGTCCTCCAAAAGAGCTGGAGCATCTGAAGGCAGGGTCGCCTTCCCACGCGCGTTTCACGCGCGTCGCGCGAAGCGCGACCCACGTTTCACGCGTTTCCTTCCCGATGCGGGACTCCAAGTCCTCCGTGGCCCATACCTAGAACCTGAATGACCTCTACTTTGGACCACCAACCACCCCAAATATGGTCTTTTCCCATCAAAACAGAGGTCAAATGGCTTCCAGGCTATGAACATCCTCCCCTTTTTGGAGGATGACTTCGTTTCGACACCACCGGCGCCATGCCTTGCCGTACTCCAGCCGCGCCGTACTCCACACGTGCCATGAACGTCGGTCCTTTGAAGCGGAACGATCCCTGCGCGGCGGCGAGGTGAAGAACGTCCCAGGCTTTGTGAGCTACTTGGAGGATTCTGAGACCGACACCGACAGGAACAGCGAGGACGAGGAGAGGTGTCCCGGATGGGTGTACGGATTCGAAGCGGCCACCAGCGTGGTGTTTATGGTTTTTTGGACCGAGCAACTAGGGTTGTGCGGAGGATTTGTTTGCTACAAAAACCATTACAACATCAAGTCAACCATTTGGAAAATGGTCTTGGACTTCTATAGGGTACATGGACCTATGGGTTCAATATCAGATGTAAGTAGTCAACCCTCAGGTTCTTGGGGAGGGCCAAAGTTCCCTCCATGTGAAGACATCTTCAACTCGGGTCAATTTTTTGTGTAGGGTTCGGCTGCACTCAGCAGATGGCAGGTGTGGTTGAAGTCTAGTGAATCCCTTTTGCGTAGTGCTGAACGGCCGATCCGCAACGAGGTCTGATTGCGTGATTCGATTGTTGTAAGTCTTGTGTTCAGGATTGGGGTGCAGTGCTGAGAATGAACGGTAGAACTTGCTAAACCTTGCAATGTGAGGTTCACGTGGAGTCGAGCCACGGGGTCATGATATGATCATGATATGATCCATCATGTTGTTGATGACATTTGGTGCCTCAATCTGTGGCATGTATGACATTCTGTGGCCAAGTCTTGATCTCTTCAAGGTCCTGTGCAGGGCGAAGCTCTATGTTCCCTGCGAAATCAAGCTGTAGGGCTTTGATTGAAGTCCTTCAAGACTTCAAGGGGTCACAGACTAAACCAGGCTAAGCAGGGGTCACATCACCATGGCCAAGCAGGGGTGCCAAGACCTGGGCCGTGGCGCTCAGACGAGACTACGAATGCATGTGGCATATTCAGTCACCTAAAGACCGTGATGATCCATGATCAACATAGTCGTTGGACACGGGCTATATATATATATATATACATATACATACTGTATATACCTATTATACCTATTAGATATATATATATATGTATAGACACACCTAGAACCTGATTGACCCCTGTTTTGTTTTCAATCCGTGGTCTAGACTTCTATCAAACCAGAGTCTTCCTAGTTCCCAGACCCCTTGGAGTCCGGAGTCCACAGGAGGCCTTCGGCTCCCAGGCGGAGGAGGGCTCCGACCACGAGGCGGAGGCGTTTCGCTTCCTGGGCATTCCGGTGAGTCAGGAGCCAAGAAAGATGGCGGAAATGGTGAGGTCCATAGACCTATTGTACACCAAAGTACACTATAACTTGACTATAACAGACTATAACCCTACTGTAAGTGTGTAGGGCTTGTATACAGTATGTGTCAAGTCTAGGGTTATGTAATGTAGTATTTTTTTTGGGGAAACATTTGCTAGTGCGTTTGGGCAGTGCCAAGCTGGCCCACAAGAAGTGGCGTGAGTTGCTGAGGGTTGCATGGGCCAAGCCATGTTGCACCATGTTGTACCAATATGATAACTGCTTGCTCATGCCATTGTTGACACATCATGGCACAGGTTTTCCATTATTTTCCAACTGATTTCTGGCTCAATACCTTCAAGCGTTACTCACCGGAGATGTCTGCCAGCAGAGGTCCCAACTATGTCCAGATCTTGCCCATCTCCGAGGATGAAGGCATTTGGCAGGAGAGAACTGTGGGCTTCTATAGGTGCGGAGGCCGTCCATCTCGAGATCTTGGGGGGGCATTTGCCGAAGACAGCACAACCTTTCTAGTGCTGCATGTTTGACAGCAAAGCTCTTGAAAACATGATTCACTTGCAAGGTTATCTCTCAATTCCCTGGTGTTTCAACCGTATGTATGCAGAATTTACAGGAAGATGGACCTCAACGTTTACTTGTAGAAGAACCCAGGCACTGCGAGTGCGCTTTTGTTGCTTTGAGACAAGCACATGGACATTCTGCGTCCATTGAAATCGCCATGTTGGACGAAAGCATTCGCCTCAGGTGGACTAGACTCACGTGACGTGTTCGCATGCCTTGGCCGTCAGGAGATTCAAGCTGGTGCTACCCGACTCGCCCAAGGTGGGGGTGTTTGACTCGCGAGCTCGAGTCGAAAGTGGTGCTTTTTGGAGCATTCAGGCGGGAAATCAGGAGAAACCAGGTCCAACCAAATCATCGGGAATTTTGTGCATTTCCTTCGGTGAACCACGAGCCCTCATTGACTCACGCCGCTGTTTCTCAGTCGCCTGAGCTCAATGCAGCAAAGTATCAACATGGCAAAGCACTCATTTGGATACATTTGGAAGGATTGTGGGAAGAGGATGTGAGTTTTTCTAGGACCACTTGGAGCTCCAGAGGGATCCAGGAATACATGTCACGATCTTTCACGGGCCGATCCACCTCTTCCTGTGGATTGCCCGGGCCGATCCGCTCGCCGAAAAAGCAGCAGCCTGCACCATGCGTCCCAGACGTCGAACGAAGACGTCGAAGGTCCGCATGGCTCGTCCTGAGACGGTCGTCGAACGACCTGAGACGTCTCGGTCTCGCAGAGTCCGTCCATCGAGGATGGCCCTGGGGGCCGTGATCGGATCGATGTCACGACCTGGCGCTGGAGTGGGGTGGCGACCGCCAGGTGCCAGGCAAAACTGGAGTATAGTCTAGTACAGTAGTATGTTAGGGAAGGAATCCCACTGACGTAGAGATGAGTTGGTCCTTCTTTTCTTAGCGCTTGGCGCTTGGATGGGTGACTTCCTCTTCTTCTGCATGCTATGCTCACCTCCCACCGTGGGCTGTTTGGACCCCTTGGCACCTCCTAGCCCCTCACCGACCCCCTCTCCTCCAGGCTGGACGGCTGCGCGCCCGCAGAGCCAGCCACCGAGACGGGTGAGCCAAATGGCGACTTCAGGCGGAGCCGACCGAGCGACCGGGCGAAGACCACGGCCACGGGAGGGGAGTGGGACTGGAAGAGGCCGGGCTCCAAGAGCAGCCCTTTTGGTTGAACCACCCTCATGTCACATGTCTAGAAAAACAATGAAAAACATCTATAATACTGTACATCATTATGAATCATTATACATCCAGGACACATCGAAAAGATTGCATTTTTTTGGAAAACACAGATGCCAGTTCCATGGAGTGTTTGGGGTGGCTAGAGTTTTTGATCGTTTCAATCATGATCCATCTGTAATCTGGTTGGGCCTTTGGGCGACATGCCACCCGACCGTCTTTCCGAGAAACCATGGGAACCCACCCGAACTGGCTGATTTCGGCCGCCACCGAGCCAACCCACTGGGCGTTTGCAGGTCCGCAGGCTCTGAACCAATGATCACTCACCTGTTTGATCCTGTTTGTTTTCAGGTGCTCCGCCCCAAACGCCGAGAAGCAGTAGCCGTCCTCGTTTGAAGACCATGTTGTCCGGGGCCTCTGCCTGCGACGTGGCGAGAAGAATTGAACTTGACAGGTTCGACATGAAGTGACACCAATCTTTTGCAGCAGAAAAGCTCGCCATCTATCCCAGATCTACTTGGATTAAGGCAGCCTGAGAATGAGCCGTCAAAGATGTGACCTCCCCCCCTGAAAAGATGCCGAAAAAGGATCAAAGAGAGCGGATCCCAGACCAAAGGAAGTTCTGACCCCCAAGTCAGCTTCAAGAGTGCCACAAAGCCGATCGCCTTGGTGGGTCAGCCGAACAAAAACTGTGGTTGTCCATGAGCTTTTGATTCTTTAACATGCCTTTTCTGAGGCCGAAAAGTGTGCCACCAGCACGTGTGCCACTTGGCAGATGGAAAGAAGGAGAGGTCTTAAAGAGCTGAAAGAGCCTTTGGTGAAGACTTCATGTGGCTGTCAAACCTGAGTTTACTTCATTGACATTTATTGTAGCAATATTCACTTCTAAGTAAGTTTTTTAAACACCTGACTCTGATGAAGCTCAAGTGGTAAGGCTTTACAATTTATCAGAATCACTTGGTGGCCACCCATGGAAAGGAGGATGCCACCCTCCACACTCCACAAAACAATACATGAGACCTGTACTACGTAGATCGTCAACGGTTCCTGTACGCAGCTTTCCCTCGGCGACAGATTCGGAGTGATCGGCTGGGACTCAGCATCATCGCTCGCCAGATTGCGTGGAGCTATGACTTGGCACATCTCACCGTTCTCCAACCCCCAAAAACGTCCCCCAACCCCCTTTTTTGGCTTCATTTTGGCCGGGGATTGGCTGAGAGTTCCGTTTCGGTCGGTCTCGGTCGAAGGCGGTTTGCTCTTCTTCCTTTCGATTCGGGCGCCGAACAACTCAGAGTTCGTGCTCGTTGGGCGGCCGAAGGGACGGAGGACATGGGGGCGTACAAGTATGAACGACTCAAAACTGAAGTCATTCCAAACCAAAACCATCCCCCACCAGGGCCCCCTTTTTGGGGTGGTTCATGGACATCAACCTCTAAGGAGCTTGGAGCTACCCCGAAGAGAAGCTCTAGGGGGCCTTGGTAGATCATTGTGACTGATGGGGCCAGCCGGTCTTTCTTTTGGTTGTTGGGCTTTGGGCTAAGCTCAAAACCCATGTCCGGCCCTCCGGGTTCGGTGGAGCACCGCGTGGTGGGCCCGCCAGGTCGGTGCGATCGGTGCTCCCGCTGAAGACGGTCCACCTCGGGCTTTGACCGAAGAATTTTTGGCCGATGGATTGGCTGTTCCCGGATGGGCTGGTGGCTTTTTGATTGGGAATGGATGTTGGGGCTAGACGTTTGACCAGATTTATTGGAGAGGATCCGGAGTTTTCGGTTGTAGCGATGATATCCACTAGCTGACTAGCTGCTAACTAGCAAAGCGGATTCAGTATTGCAAGAGCTTTCTCAGCAGCAAGATTTGCAGCAAGATCCTCAATTTAGGAAGCCAAAGTTCTTTTTGGGCTGGTCATCACCCGGTCGGGCAGGGCCATTTTGGTTGAAGGGGCGCTGTGAGGAGCTCCTCACGACAAGCCACTGCACATGGAGGACTTGTGCAGGTAAGGAAGATGCGGACATGACTGGCTACTCACCAAAGTTCATCCTTTTGGGAACGCAGAAAGCATTCAGTCTGACAGACATGTTGATCCCCCCATACTGCAGGTCAGTCGTTGTGTCATGGTTGGTACATGTGTCTTTGGAATCCATGTAGGAATCACCATCTTAACGGCATAGATCAAACATCGGCACCGGTTTATGTCGCGTGCATCGCCTTCTTGGCCCCGGAACTTGCTTCAGATCTCACGTGCCTCATGACTCATGACTTTCACATTCTTTGCCCGCTGCCATATTCGGGTCCAGTCATACCTTCTAAGGAGTTATGACTGGAGCCCTAGTAAAAATGATGTCAGATCACTCTGGACGTTCTGGTGTACAGTAATTGTACAGCTTTTCGGTGTGCCCCACTACCAACAGTCGGTAAGAAACTATTGCTATCCATCGCCATCCTGGTTCTTCAAAGTGACCTTTTGATAACCTGGTTTGAGGTCACTTAAGCCTCCTAAGGGTCAATTAGGAACCTTCAAAAGGTCACTTTGAAGAAGCTGGATATCACATATACATTGTTATACATCACTAACTATCCGCTGAACCGACGGAACCTTGCAGATCTCTCCAGTTTCTTGCCTTACCAAGTGACTACTCACGTGACTTCAAAGAGTTTAAGCAAAGGACTCGCATCACAGGACCGTGACCGACCCACACCTCGAGGCAACTCTGTGCGGACGAAAAAATAACCGTCCAGCCGCTATTTTATAGGTCTGGGTGTTGTACCCAGACCCAGGACATCACAGAACCATTGTTTTACTCACTCCAAAACTAGGTGCCACCTTTCTTGTCATGATGATTTGAAGGCTAGGGAACTGTTGCCAATTCCGAGACATCACTTCTGAACAAGTACCACGGTCGAGTCTCCGATGCACATCTCCGGTTCTGTCCCTAAGGGACGATGGGCCGTGTCATCCGCCGGTTTCGTTGGCCGTGGGTCCTACGGTGTGAAGTGCCAGGCAGCTGCTTCCAGTCCGGGTCACCAGTGGACAACCCTACCCTACTTATAGGTACTCGATTGGACACCCATTGGACGTGCTAGGTATATAAATATATTAATGTATCATACAATTGCATGTAATTGCCTCTTCATGGAATGACAAACTATTAAACAATGCATATGTTATATCAAATAATCACTAAGCCAGGAACTGCCACACCGTTTGTCAATTTGTGTTCTTTCTCATTTAGGAACTGGTTTCCAAAGACTGGTTTTAGGTGAGCACTGATTCGACAGTCCACAGCCCTCAGATGTCCACAGAGTCCAGAACACTCCACCTTGCTCCGCCTATTCAACTACCACGCATTTACTCATCAACTATAGATATCCGATTTATCCAAAGATAAGAACCCCCTCAGCCACCACGCTACTCATTGTTTGTGAGAATGATCGGACAACACCCCCGCAACGTCAATTTGCCATGTAACAAACGCTCTCCCAGAGTTGAAGAGTGAATTTGTTTGCACACCTCATTGGCAACACCTGAACTGGCTGAACTGGCATTTGGACACCGCAGGACGCCAGGGCTGCGTCTTGAATCGGCACTTAAAGGTGAGCCAGCTGAACTGGACATCATTTGGTTTGATCCCAGTCGATCAGCATCCTCCCCACGAAGCAAAACATAGGCAACAACAAACCCCCCCCCAGCAGCCCCAGCACAGGAGAACACATGTTTTTATGTCTCCAGCTTTGGCAGACACCGAGAGTGGAGACGTGGGCGTGTAACTAAAAGAGGACACAATTAGGTCAATAGGTTGGGTTTGTCCGAACTTAACCGTCACAGTCAGGTTTCACAAGCAAATCACTATTTTTGGACAAGGCCTGCAGCAAAACCATCATCATCCACTGTTGCAGGAATTAGGATAGACCCAATCAATAGGGAAGATCGTGCGTGCCCTGCTTCAGTTTCATCCTCCATGGGGCCTTGGTTGGGACAATGTGTTGGAATGAGCACAGCAGAAAAGGGATCGTGGGTAGACCATGCCTTGTGGCTGTGGCACTGGTGGCTTTTCTTGGTTCATGTTTCTATTGTGTGTGAGCACCGTCACTCGCAAGCTGGCAGCCGCACCAGTTTTGGTGTTTGTGTTTCTTTCTCCCTGTTCTGGGATTTTGAGCCTATGTTTACAGCGAGTTTGCCAGCAACATCCACCATCTAATTCGTTGTTTCGGGGTCTTGGGATCAGTTCAGAGGTGGAACAGCTGGAGACGCCGAGCCGAGCCGGAATACCCTGTACAGACTGATCGAGCCATGTCTGAAGACAGTCGATCCAAAGAATTCAATTAGGACGTTCCCTTTCTTGGGAACCAACAGAGGTTAAGTGACCTGAACGTTCGGACCCATCACCTGGAGTACCTATAGTAGGATAGTCCAACGTTCGGGTTCTTCAACCTCTGGAACACAACACAATCGCTCGGAGAGGTCACGAAAAAGCGCTCCGATGCTCGGAGCGGTCCGTCTCCTGGGAACGTTCGGACATGGGCTGTGCGGACATGGGCTGGATTGGGGCACCCATCGCGCGCAATTCTTGGGACACTTTGGGAGTATTTAGGGTTGGCTAAGGTTGGCTATTTGGTGTTTCTTTTTTTTAAATGTAGAGATTTGTAGAGCCTGATGTTTTCAGAGCCTGAAACATCCTGATGGGGTTTGGGAATCCCTTTTGGAACCCATCACTCAGAAGGACATGGAACTGGCGCGTTTTTTTTACTCGACCGCCCTTGCAAGCAAGGCCCGCTTCCCACCCGCGTGTCTCGCATCGAGGTTGTGGCAGTGAAGCCCGAGGTGCATTGGAGGTGCGACAGGGACCTGACCAAAGGTGCTGGTACCCTGTTTTCACCAAGGAGGGTGACTGTCGGGCGTGCTGAGGTGAAGCTTCAACATTTGAGAGAGAGTTTCTTTTTGAGTTTGTAACGTTCCATACAATGGATATACATGGGTTGTGTGTTTTTTTGGGGGGAAAATGGAAGAGGATCTATCAGGATGTGTTTTGGGGGTGACAGCAGTGGCAACTCCGTGCAACGTGCCAAACGCTGTTGGGGTGGATCTTCTTCGTGTCGTCGTGGCTTTGCACCTGCGAAAGGCAGCAGCGAAGCAGCATTTGGCAGGGGCCCGGCCCTCTCAGGGACCCGCTGCCAGTAGTGAGCTATTTTTGGCCTCAAGGATGAGACAAGGCAAGTAGCAAACAAGGATGAGCCACGTCAATCAAGTAGAAGGGGTAGTAACAGGATGCTCAAGTAGTAAGCAAGGTAGAGGATCCATTCATATCTTGCCTACCCCCTTCGTTTTGCCCTGCATGATGCCGTGGCAAAAGGTCTTCGAGGGCTCTTCCACTGGCTGGGTATTTGTTAGCCTCGAGACGTATCTCATATCAGACTTCAGGCAATCGTCGCATGGCTTTGCAGCGTTCAACTTGAGTTGAGGCTACCTTCAAGAAAGTGTCTGCCCACACGGATGCCGGCTCCTGAGGGCAGCGGGATGTCAGCAAAAAGCAAAACAACTGTTACAGGTAGCAATCAATTAAAACTGGCAAACACATACGGAACATATTACTAATTATTCCCCAAACAGCTTTGCTGTGAGGGGTTCTCAATTCTTGCATAGAAACGATGCTGGGCCAAGATGATTCCCGCCCTTTGTCTCCCCTTGTCTCCCATGGCGTGTCTGGATGCTGGGCTGAGATGATTTTGCTTTGTCTCCCTTTGTCTCCCCTTGTCTCCCATGGCATGTCTGGATGCTGGGCTCAGATGATT